CAAAACATTCTGAAAATTTGGATGCTTCGATAATTGAACATTCTCTATCCGTCTAAATAATTTTCATCGATACAGTGCTGCCACTTCTATCAGAAACAACTAGCAACTTCGTTATTTCAAATGAAAAGCACCCTGTATTTCATTGCATTTTTAGATTCTTATTGAAGAGTTGATTTCATCAATGTATATCACACTTGGGGTCTAGCAGAAATGATTACAGAGATATGGTGTTCAAAATCGATATTTTTCAATTTAAGGATTTTTTTGCGTCGAAGCTATTCATTATCGATCAAAACGGCTTACATGTCCCTATCTTAACTTTCGATTCACTATCTACTGATATCAAATTGGAACAGATACAGGGTGATCAGAATTCTGAATCTTGTAGCACTCTGTATTTTTTCCAACTAAGTTACAGTAGATGAATCGAAAGTTAAGATAGGGATATGCAAGCCATTTTGATCGATAATGAATAGTTTCGACACAAAAAAATCCTAAAATTGGAAAATCTCGATTTTGAACACCCTATATCTCTATAATCATTCCTGCTAGACACCAAGTGGGATACATTGATGAAATCAACTCTTCAGCAAGAATCTTAAAATGCGATAAAATACAGGGTGTTCAATTTGAAATAACAAAGTTGCTAGTTGTTTCTGATAGAAGTGGCAACACTGTATCGATGAAAATATTTTAGACGGATAATGTTCAAATATCAAAGCTTCCCAATTTTCAGAAAGTTCTGTCTTCGTTGTCCAGATACTTCTAATAGGCCATCCACCATGGATCACCCTGTATACTCCAGCAACTATGGTGGTTTCAGGATAGCGTACCACCCCACAATGAAAGGGCCGTTACTCAGTATCTAAATAAAACGCTTCCCAATCAGTGTATTGGAAACCAAGGGGTGGTGCGCTGGCCTGCAAGGAGCCCCGATTTATACCCGCTGGATAATATTCACGTTTATTCACAGATATTCCACGGGACATAAATATTTTAAAAAATAACAACCCTACGAGCTAGAGGAAGAATTATCCAGCGCTCGCTTACGGGCATTTAATTTGAAAATTGTTCTTGTAATTATTACAATTTAGGCATAGTTTTTATCAATGGACTGAGAATTAGATATTATTTTGCCAGGAGTTCAGTTTCGTAATAATTAGGACAGTGGAGGGGTGAGGGGTTACATTGAAATCTTTCCAGTGTTCAGGTGCTGATTATAGGTCCTTATTTATACAGGGTGAGTCAATAGTGTGTTCTCCTTCGATATAAGCTAAACCGTCAGGTATATGAAAAAAATTCGAATACAACAGTTATAGAATATTATGAGAGCTATCACCTAAAATTATTTTCTAGAGGATGTTCAAATTCCAAGATATCGGCTGATGATGGGTGTTTTTGAATGGGACAAACTGTATATTATTGCATTTTAAAATTTTTCCTGAAGAGCTGATTTCATCAATGTATCACACTTGGGGTCTAGCGGAAATGATTACAGAGATATAGTGTCAGAACTATTCATTATTGCCGAAACGGCTTACATATCCCTATCTCAACGTTTGATTCACTATCTACTGAAATTGAATTGGAAATCTTTAATTTTGAACCACCTTGTATTTGTTCCAATTGAGTGTCAGTAGATGGTGAATCAAAAGGGACATGTTAGCCGTTTCGACCAATAATAAATAGTTTTAACACAAAAAAATCAGAAAGTTGAAGAATATAGCTTTTTGAACACCCTATATCTCTATAAACATTCCAGCTAGTCTCTTGAAGGAGAATCTAAGGATTTAATAATATACAGAGTGTCTTATTTGAAAACAGTCATCATCAACCGATATCTTGGAATTCGAACACCCTATAGATATGAAGATAATTTTAGGTGAAAGTTCCCAAGAAACCCTGTAACTTTTGTATTCGAATTTTTTTTATATATCTGACGGGTTTGCCTAATATCGAAGAAGAACACACTATTGACTCACCCTGTATAACTGATAAATAATAATGTTTCAAAAGTAGTTCCGGATCAAATATTTCGAGAAAATGTTCTTTCTCGAAAATTGAAATTTGTGAAAGCTCATAGTGTTTGGGCTATCCAAAGGTAACAAAAAATGAAATAAAAAAAAAACAGGTCCGTATTGAAAAAAAAAATGAGTTGATGATGGTTTCTGGAATTCAAATTTGAAAACCTTATCTTGTAGGGAAGAAAGTAATCGGAATTTTCCAAGTTTCAGAACGGCATTCTGTTAGGCATCAAATTGAGCAACTTTGCCATAATTTAACCGACCCTGTATCTCTTACGGTTCACGAGATCTCAATGATGAGGCTCGGATTTCAGCCACCCTGTACACAGAGCAATTACATTTTTGCTAATAAAAACAGTGTATCGCCCACTGTTTTTATTAGCCAAAATGCTGCCTGAGGAAAATCAACACACTTGGAAAAAAATCGCTAACGATGAAATTCTTCACACATTCGGAAAAAAGTCGCTAACAATGAGATTTTTCACACATAAGTCGAATCTTCAAAAAAAAACATGAAGAAACGTCTTGAAAGCGTCTGGCATGTGTAATTATTCTGTGACGTTTCTTCACATTTAGACGCATGCTTGGATCTTCCGTGGCATAAGCGACAGAACAAAGTGGAGGAGTGGGAGTGATCTATACCGACGTTGTTCCTACTGGCAACTTTCTACCTCCTCTGGCACTCACTTTTCATCCACCCAGTAGACATTTTGAAACAGTATAAATTTCGCTTTCATCACCCTTGAAAATTCAAAGGGGTCTGAAGACATTCCTCACGGGTTGCTTGTACAGTGTGTCCAGTTTTCGATGCTTTTGCGTGATATCTCAGTTATCTTTCGAGATAGGTAGAACCTTGCAGTTTTCGAGGTACTGTGCCACTTTTTTGTGTAACTCAAGATGGCTTAATCAGATTTTGCATAACTGCTTCCGTTCATGAGATACAGGGCGATTTTGAAAACTTATACTTTTTGGATCCCCACTATGTCTACGAAGTTTCTCAGCGAATATGTCAAATCAAAATTTTACCCCATAGAGAATTTTACGCAGAATTCAGTAGCGCAGTCAATTTTTTTGTCGGGGTATGGTTTTGGAGATACGACTCTAACTTAGGTTTTTTCAAATGGAACACCCTGTATTTTATCAGGTCATTGAATTCCTTTTTTTTATATGAAAAAAATACAGGGTGTTCCATTAGAGAAAACATAACTTTGCATTATTCTTCATGATTATGGATTATTTCGGAAGCCTGACTAAACCACTACGTCAAAAAATGTGTAAAAGGCAGTTTTAATTTTCTCGATGAGTTGAAAGATAGCTGAGAGGCAGGGGGATCCCAACATGCAACATTTTCAATTTTGACCTGTACGAAGTGTTTTATGACAATTTTGATTGCGGTATCGTGACTTTCACAAGAAAGTAGCCAACGTTCACAAAAACCGCAAATCTCTATCGTTGAAAATAAGTGAGATGTCCCGTAAGGACATCGAAAATGGGACAGCCTGTACAGTGTGTCCAGTTTTCGATGCTTTTGCCTGATATCTCAGTTATCTTTGGAGATAGAACCTTGCGGTTTTCGCGGTCCTGTGCCTTTTTTTGTGAAACTCAAGGTGGTCTAATCAGATTTTGCAAGACTGTTTCCGTTTATGAGATACAGGGCGATTTTGAAAATTTATACTTTTTGGACCCCCTCTATATCCACGAAGTTTCTCAACAAAAATGTCAAATCAAAATCTTATCACATAGAGAATTTCACGCATAATCCAGTGGCGTACTTAATTTTTTTTTTCGGGGTATGGTTTTGGAGATGCGACTCAAACTTATGATTTTTTAAATGGAACACCCTGTATTTCAGAAGCTCATTAAATTCCTTATTTTTTTGTCTCCAAAATTATATATAACGAATGAATATAAAATTTTCAAAATTGCTCAAAATCACTAAAATATTGAATTTTGATAGTTGGTTATGGATTTTTCTTATAAAAATCGTTCCAATTGAAGAAATATCTCTTTAAATTTTTCCATGGAGAGATCAAAACCAATATCAACACTTATTTATTAACAAAACACTAAACTTGGGTACCTGATAGCAACAAATAAATAGTAATAAAAAGTTCATAATGTAGAATAAGCACCTGATTAAATATTTACTAAAATAATCGAATTCTGGAATTATTCAGTAACTTATTCATTGACATGTTCAAATTGATATCCATTTTCCCTAACATACAGTTGACAAACTTTCTTAATACTTCTTAATACAGTGAGTGGCCCAACATACTTGAAGAACTTTGTGCAACAACAGAGGCAGTTTTCCAGGAATTACAAAGACATCTTTCAATGATTAATATGTATTGAGAAAGTTTGTGATGGAAAATGGACATTAATTTGAACAATTCAATGAATAAATCACTGAGTAATTTCGAAATTCAATTGTTTTAGTAAATATTCAATCAGGTGCTTATTCTACATTATTAACTTTTTATTACTATATATTTGTGGATATCAGGTATCTAAGTCTTGTGTTTTGCAAGTTAATTAGTGTTGAAATTGTTTTTTCGCCCTTCATGGAACAATCTTTATATGAAAATCCCTCGAAAAGCCCATAGCCCACTACTAAAATTCAATGTTTTAGTGATTTTTGAACATTTTTGAAAATGTTATATTCATACATTATATATCATTTCGAGCGGAAACAAATAAGGAATTCAATGAGCTTATAAAATACAGGGTGTTCAATTTAAAGAATCATAAGTTTGAGTCGTTTCTTCAAAACCATACCCCGAAAAAAAAATTTGTGTGCGCCACTGGATTCTGCATAAAATTCTCTATGGGTTGAGATTTTGATTTGACATTTTCGCTGATGAACTTCGTAGATATAGATGGGGGTACAAAAAATATAAATTTTCAAAATCGCCCTGTATCTCATAAATGGAAACAGTCATGCAAAATCTGATTAGGCACACTTGAGTTTCACAAAAAAAAGTGGCAAAGGACCGCGAAAACCGCAAGGTTCTATCTCCAAAGATAACTGAGATATCATGCAAAAGCATCGAAAACTGGACACACTGTACAGTTAAAATAACGAATTTTGATGTCCACTCCGGTATAACCGGAGGTGCTGCTATCTCAGAATTATTTTCATTGAACATGTCCCAATAATGTACAGGATTTTTTTCAGATCAGTGAAATTTTTAGAACTCCAGATATATCGGTTTGAACGCGGTTTAGACGGAACAGTCTGTCTAGTGGACATAACGAAACTTAAAAATACACTCTCATCACTCGCTCCGAGCGAACTCTAGCCGATCTGATGGCCTTTGGGATTGCATATTTTCGAGAAACCCCACTTTTTGTCCTGCGCCACAAAAGGCCCGTTGTGTACTATATGCACCGACATGAGGGGCGAGTACCTCAAATGAGGTACCAGTTTCGGTGTGATCAGGAAATACTGGGATGCCGATTGAACGCAAGTGCATTCCACGACCAGCTCGAAAATTCTTCGTTCGTTGTTGGCGTCCATTCCTGCAAAAACAAGAGTTTTCTGGAGCACACGGAAAGTAATCCTTATTAATGGGGTGGTACACACTAGTCGAATTTACGCCATTTCTTATGTCAGAAAACCTAGAAATACAAGATTTCATGTTCATGCTGTTGAAATTTTGAAATAAAATCTCCCCCTAGAACACCCTGTATCTCCTCAACCAGCAACATTATCATCAGGCATATTGGACTAAATCCCATTATTTTTGTGTTAACTATCTGTAGTTCAGAAATTTCCCATTCTTATTGAATCACCCTGTATATCGGGGTGTTTTTGAAGCTTGAAAAAACGGAATTCGAGAAAACATTTTGGAAATTGAAGATGGCGCCTCCAAGATGTCGAACACATTCATCAAGTCTTTTTGAAGCTTAGGAATGTGTAATTCGAGTACAAAATTTCGAAATTTCAAGATGGCGGCGAGTCAATCAGGTCCTGCCCGATTCGCCTGAAAATATACAGGGTCATTACGTTCATTAAACAGCTTCTACAGGGTTCATCATTGAAAATGGAAGAAAAACTTCAAATACAAAAGTTGAAGGGTATGCGTGCCTTCAGAAAATTGTACGAGGTGAAACAAATGAATATCGATATGAGAAATTGGTACGAACTTCGTTATCTACAATGGAACACCCTATATATTTTTTGAAAAAATTGAAGATCTCTCTTTTCTGAATTCAAAAATTTATACAGGGTGTATCTAAATAACACCGAAAAAATTCAAGGGGAGATTCCTTGTGATATTTTAGAAAATAAAGTGCATATGAACATGTGTCCTTACTTGCTTCGTTTTCGAGATACCCTAAATCTCGAAAACGAAGCAAGAACTTTTTTTCTATTTATTTCTCAATTGTCTTTTCATCAATTTCAATAAAACGTTGTGGTTTTGTTAATAGTAATATGGAGCTTCTTCTAGTTCAATTAGTTTTGAAATAATATTTCCAGTGGCGTCACAGTTGGTAAATTTTTTCTAAGCTGAAATATTATGGGTTGAACTTGACAGCACAAAACTTCTTTCGTAGTTACCTGAGTGAAAGAAGTCAAATAGTCAAAAATAACAATAGCGAATCTCAATCACTCAGATTACATAATGGTGTACCTCAGGGATCGATTCTGGGACCACTTTTATTCCTTATATATACTGCTGGATTATCTAATTGCCTTTCAGATTGTAGAAGCCACTTCTATGCTGATGATAGCCAATTATATTATAGTTTTTTTCCCGAAGATGCCTATTTAGCTAAGTATTTCGTCAACAAAGATTTACAAAGAATTATCAACCTCTCTAAGCAACACAATCTTCATATTAATCCCACAAAATCCACTTATTTATTATTTGGCAATGAATGTCGAATTAATCGGGTGAAGAATGATATCAACATAGCCATAGGAGGTGTCACTTTAACAATAGTAACAGCAACCAAAAACTTAGGTTTAATTATTGACTCTAATTTGAAATTCTCGGAACACGTCAGCAAATCTATTCAGCGTGCTTATGGGTGTCTTAAATTGCTGTACTCAAGTCGACAATTTCTGTCTTTTGATTTAAAGAAGAAACTGTGTGATCAACTAGTTTTATCTAATTTCAACTATTGCGATATAGTATATGGTCCATGTATCGACTCCTTTGACTGTTATCGAATTCAAAAAATGCAAAATAACTGCACTAGACTGATTTGGGGCTTGCGAAGATCTGATCATATCACTGAATATATTTCATCTCTTGGCTGGCTTTGCATGAAAAAACGTCGTCTTCTACATGCCACTACTGCTTTCCATAAAATTATCAACGAGAAACGTTCATATATTACCTTTATGAAAAAATAATATTTCGTCATCAATTGCATAACCTCAATATAAGGAATCTTGCTACTGTGAACATCCCACACTACTCCACCAGTAAATTTAAAGCATCTTTCTCCTACCAACTACCACTTATTTATAATGCTTTAGATGACAATGTTAAAAAACTGAGTATGAAGTCCAAAGAACACAGTCTACCTAGCTGCACAGATTACTTCTACATTTATCTAATATTTCCACAATTCAAAAAGTAGAAAAGTGAAGAGTTATATCTAAGAATAGAAATATGATTTAGTTTGTTTTCTTGGAAAATACCTTGTAATACCTACTATTTATACGTATACAGGGTGTTATTTAAGTATCGTGGCCAAACGTGAAGGGGTGATTCTTTGAGTGATTCTAAGACGAAGAGTTCATATAAACATAGGTCCGGTAATGCTTCGTTTTCAAGATACAGGGTGGCAAATTTTTTAAAAGAAATAGTTTTTTTCGTAAATATCTTAATAACCCCTCAACCGATTTTATTGAAATTCGACAGTGTCATTCAAGGTCCTAAAGAGTTAATTTAACCCTGACTATATCAAAATTATCAAGTCCAGTGGCGTCCCGGAAGGCACTGTAACCAATATTTTTGACAGAAAAAATGTGCGCCACTGATTTTTTTGCAATTTTTGTATTTGTTTCACATTGAGCAACTAAAATTACAACTTTTTTATATCTAGAATTTTTTTCGTATCTTGCTTTGTTTTTGAGAAAAAACATGAAAATCACTTCATTGCACATCCCTGTGACAACACAATAAAACATTTCAACTACTAAACCATCAAAAACTGGGGTCTTACTAATGTTTTTTCATATTAATACTCTATTCTAGTCTTGGACTTTCCTATCAAAATTAATGCAATGAAAAAACAAAAAATATGTATGAATTGCAGCACTTTCCTTCGGCTCTTGGCTTCGGCTCGTTACAGGGATGTGCGATGAAGTGATTTTTATGTTTTTTCTCAAAAACAAAGCAAGATACGAAAAAAATTCTGGATATAAAAAAGTTGTAATTTTAGTTGCTCAATGTGAAACAGATACAAAAATTGCAAAAAAATCAGTGGCGCACATTTTTTCTGTCAAAAATATTGGTTACAGTGCCTTCCGGGACGCCACTGGACATGATAATTTTGATATAGTTAGGGTTAAATTGGACTTCTCACAGGGCATTGTAGGCTCAACAAACACATGAGTACGATAGGTCTGACTGAAGAACTTCTGTGCAGGTTCTGTCAGGAAGAGGAGGAAACAGCAGTACACATACTTTGCCACTGTGAGGGCTTGTCAAGACTAAGGTTCCTTACGCTGGGTGAGGAAAAACCAGAAGCCCAGAGATACACAGGGGATCTGAAAGCTAGCCTATGGAGTCTCATAGAGAAGACGGGGCTAGCCGAAGAACTCTAATCGATTTTGAGGGCAGACACAATAGATCTGAAAAGGTCGCGGTGTGGAGGCAGATAGCCCGAAGGCCCCATTCTAAATCTAATCTAGGGTTGAATTAGCCCTTTACGACCTTGAAGAACACTGCCAAATTTCAATAAAATCGGTTGAAGGGTTATTAAGATATTAACGAAAAAAAAAAACGATTTCTTTTAAAAATTTTGACACCCTGTATCTTGAAAACGAAGCATTACCGGACCTATGTTTATATGAACTTTTCGTCTTAGAATCATTCAAAGAATCATCCCTTCAAGTTTGGCCACGTACTTGAATAACACCCTGTATGTAAGTGTAAGAATAGCTCTTTGTAGCTAAACTTTCGCCTAATAAAGTCCTATTATTATTATTATTATTATAAATTTACCGATATTCTTGGTGAATGTCATTGTACACCACCGTTTTTTCTGAGTTTCATATTTTTATTAGATTGCACTATTTATTGTGAAAATGAAGAAATATTGAAAAATTATAATTGATCGTTATATAAATCCCCTATAGCCTTTAATCGATCTAATGTGGGAAACAATTGTTGTCATGTCAATCAAAACACACATTATTTACTGTAATTCTCAGAGTGACAGACAGAGCGTGACTGTTATTTTCGATTCAGTGGAATTGCGATGAAAAACTTCCAGCTACATATGCGATACTGATGAGATATTGCCAACGAAGTCCTAACAAAGGTATGAGAAGCACTACACGGGATTTATTGGATGGTGCAATAGTAAATAAGTGAAAACACCAAATAAAGAAGAAGTATTTTTGGCTCATTTCCAAGAAATGTTTGAAACCTAGAGGCCAAACACCGTGGGCATGCTGGCTTCCGCAACATAATAGATATATCACTAATTATCAGAAAATAGAGAATATATCACTATTTATTTGTTTATTTATTTATTTATTTATTTAATGAGGACACCCAACAGACAAACAAAGAGCTTGTCCAATTACAGGGTGACACAGAATACAATCATGGTTTACAATGTGAGCTATGCTAGTCGCTAAAGTTTATACAAAATGTAACAATATATAATAATAATAATAATAATATATAAATATCATTAAATGAACTAACACTATTATTGAGGATAAAAGAAAAGAAGAGAAAAAAAATAATTTGTACTTGAGTTGTTTCTTGAACATTGTGAAATTGTTGCTGAAGATGTCAATATCATGGTCACAGATTATGTTATAAGAGTTCATGCATCTGATAAGGGGAGAGTTACAATAGTAATTTGTTGAATATGGTGGTGGATAGAATGTTAATCGATTTCGTGAAATACGGGGATTACAATTTAGTGATAGTTGTTGCAAGCATAATGCTGAGTCAGTGAGGTTGTTTATAAGTTTGAATACAAAAGACGAGTCATAGAATTCGCGTCTCAAGAATAACGGTTCCAATTTGTAGAAATCAAGATTCACTTCATAATTAATATAATGCCTATGACGAAATAAACGATAATTCAGATTACTAATCAACCTCCTTTGGACATACTCTAATCGCTTAACATATTTTTCATAGACAGGATTCCATATTACAGAGTTGTACTCGAGGATAGGTCTCACTAAAGTTTTGTACATTGTTAAAATTGAAGTGTGATTTTTGAAGTCGTGAGTACTACGTAGGATGAAACCTAATATTTTCAAAGATTTTCTGACTGTACATTCAATGTGACTTTCAAACGTAAGCTTTCGATATAAAATTATGCCAAGGTTTTTTATTTCGTTGACAACAACGATCTGATGGTTGTTTATGTAAAGGTGTTCATGAGGGGGGTTAAGGATTTTAGAGAATAGAATCTGATAGCACTTGTTGAGGTTAATCGATAGTCTGTTTGTGAGGCAGTAAGCGGAAAATCTATTTAGGTCATCTTGAAACCCGTGGTAGTCAGATGGCTGCCTAATTTCTTTATATGCTTTCAAATCATCTGCAAATAATTTTATTTTGGAATTTATAAACTGGTCCTCAATGTCGCTCACGAATATACTGAATAGTAGAGGGCCTAGGTGTGATCCCTGGGATACACCGGACTCAATTAACCTTCTCTCTGATCTAAAACCGTTCAAGAGGACATACTGAGATCTCTCGGAAATATATGAAGTCAACCACCCCAACAGGTTTCCGTGCACACCGAAATTCGCAAGCTTTACGATTAAAGTAGGGTACTTTATCGAAGGCCTTAGAAAAATCGGTGTACACGACACCGGTAGAGGCACCGTTTTCCATGGATTGAAATATGTCCTGCACAAAAGGAACCAGATTAGTTAGTACACTTCTTTTTTTATAAAAACCATGTTGATGTACAGTTATGTGATTTTTAACCATGTGAAATAGCTCGTTTGTTACAATTGACTCGAAGATTTTACCTAACAGATTCAATAGAGAAATAGGTCTGTAGTTGGGAATTTCTGACTTCTTGACATTTTTGAAAACTGGTATTGTTTGTCCAACCTTCCACTGTTTTGGGAATTTAGCTAATCTCAGAGATTGGTTGAAAAGTATCGAAAGTGGTTTGACTAAATTATCAGCACACTTTTTAATGAAAAAAGCAGGTATGCCTGTTGTTAGTTGTTCCTATTTGCAGGAGTAATTAATTGAACAAATCAATCAATTTCCTACGCTTGTAGCAAAAATATTGTTCCTAACTCATGCGGAAAATGTCTTTCCCGCACTCGACTGCTTGCCCGAACTCCGCTTCGCGTCGTTCGGGTCAACGGCATTCGCGTGCGGGAAAGTATCACTTTCCGCACTTGTTAGGAGAATTAATATTTCCAAAATTTCAAGTAACAAGTAAAACTTACCTTGATTGATTTCGTCGACGCACCTGAACGGCACCGGAGTCAATTTTTGCAGGGAGAGCATGAATGCCGCCGTAGCGACCGCTCTTTCGCCACCGCTCTGTATATTCGAGTTCAACTCTTGCAGCGGCTCTCCGTTGCGGTACGTCACCTTCGAAGACGATAAAAAAATCGAAATTATCATATGTAATACCACAAGTGATACTATTTTGCCGGAAATATTCGGCGATTGTTACGACAGCTTGTTGCTCAATAATTTCGCCGAATGACATTGTTTATCGAAACTTTCGAGCCGTAGGCAAGAAGTTTTGGAACAATGTCATGAGCGAAATTGAAGCAGCAAGCTGGAGTATGTCAATCGACGAATATTCCCTGGAAAAATAGCATCAGGAGTTGTATTCCTATGACTATTCCACTCTTGTTCTCGAGAACCAATCAGAATCGACCATTTTCACGGTTTCTCCTGTATCCTAGCGATATTTTTTGTTTACTGAATTATATCGGACTTGCTCTACCATTACAGAAGCCGAATTGACTCACATGTGACCAACAAATCTCGTTTATCAGCGATAAAATTTTGACATCGAGTCTGGTTAAGATTGCTTTGTATTCAAATCTGAGACAATAACCTAAGTTCCTACTTTATTTTATTAACTTATAATTCGCGTTAGTGAGATATTTTGTACGAAAGGCGAGACAATTTTATTCTGGCTGGACGTTTCATGTGTAATTTAAAAAGTTTGCATATTTGTTGACGGTCTGACACAACAATAATAGAATTCAAATTCCTTTCTGAAGTAATCTTCTTCAATTACTCAAGTTATTGTGACTGACTAATTTAATTACTAGCTGATGTAGCGCAACTGTTAGGGTTGTTCCGCGAGAATACGAAGGTCGATGGTTCGAGCCCGCGGCGACGATATATATATTTTTTTATGCACTAGCGGGCGGTGAAGTGCACTTTACCGCCCAGTTTTGCCGGCGTCAAGTCGCACTTTACCGCCCGCGGGCTCATTATGGCCCACGGGCCGTAAAGTACACTTTACCGCTGTTCTCAGTCACTTTATATCCCCATATCAATTTATGAAAAACCTATGATCATATTCCTAGATTCTGATATATCCAGCGGTATATCATAAACTTCGTCTTCATCCGATTCCATAGTCTCGCTATTATTATTATCACTAATTTTACTTTTCAATCAAAGAATGACAATTCAGCTCGTTTATTGGATGTATTGCTATAGACAACAACCGTCAGATTGATTGACAACGTCAAAATAAGTTGGGTTTATATACTGGGTATGCATATATTGTAAAATTCTGAAGAATGAATCTCTTCTAGAGCTGGAAGAGTTCTACTATTACGATAATTGCAATATTCGTACGATAATTTTCATATGTAAATCATCCATGAACATTACGCTTCTCTTGATTACTGAATTTATACGTAACAAATTAAATTCTGGGGAATATTAGTTCATCGAAAGCTATAGTCATTACTTATGAGTCCGAAAAACGAAAATAAACCACTAGTGCATAAAATTTTGTATGTATCTCGTGCGTGAAATGCGTTTATGGCCTTCAGCGTGTAATGGCCCTCGGCTAGCGCCATCGGGCCATTATTCACGCCACAGGCCATAAACGCCTACTTTACGCCCTTGATACATAAATAACTATTAATCATTCCATGTCACATAAATTCAATTTATTTTGTTTGAATTGGACAGTATTTGTATACACTCTTTTGAGAGCAACCATCTCCAAGATTATAAAAAAATACTGTTTATCAAAATTGTACATTCCACTTTGTGAATAACTATAAGTAGGTAGTTAATTTCTAAAAAAGTAAATTATGTATTTCATTACTATCATTATGTTCTTCTTCGCAGTTCGAGTTGGAATATACTTAAATTATGTTTCCTATTTCTTATATACAGTATGATGCAAATGTATGGAATAAATTCATTATTTCAGAAATGGGCGACATTTGAAGAAATTCCAAAAACACGTGAGTTTTAATTTCTGAAGCCTCATCTCATGATATTCATATGAGAGATGTTACGTCACCGGTGTTGGAGTAAAGACGTAATGAACGATTTTTTCAAATACAAATAGGGGTCATGTGACACCATGATTGAAAGGTCTACGATCGTCTATTCAACAGTCAAAATGTTGCATAAGAAGATTGAAATTAAAATAGATTATCATATGTGATTAATTGAATCTTGCAGAGGTCTGCTACTGAGAATTGAACATCGAAAAAAACGTTCTAAACTCTAGTTTTTGTTTTTTTTTCGAAAGTCGTCTTGTTTTGAAATGAATTTATTCCATACATTTGCATCATACTGTATATTGTTTCATTCAATCATGAAATAGTCATACGAATACAACTCGTGATACTATTTTTCCTGGAAATATTCGTCGATTGATATACTCCAGCTTGCTGCTCTAATTTCACTCATGATATTGATCCAAAACTACTCGCCTACGGCTCGTAGTTTTGATAACAATGTCATTCACATAATTACTAGGCAACAAGCTGTCGTAACAATCACGGAATATTTCCGGCAAAAAATTATCACTTGTGGTATTAAGGTATGTTCATGCTTGTACGAATTCCGGAAAATTTATGCGAATAAAATGGCGACTGCGAATATCGCAATGAAGTTGAACTATTTGAACTTTTTTGCGAATTCGGATGGAATCATAACCACATAAAATGTATTGTTATTATTTTGATAACATCAAAATTGGGGAATTAGAGGGCGGACTGCAGAGGTCGAAAAAAGACGAGACTATAGACACTAGACTACAGGTAAGTACAGAATTATAATTAAAAATTTCATCATTCCTTCATTTGATTGAATTTTCTTCGCAGAATGGATTCTCTGGACGAATGAATTTTAAAGTATCATCTGTATCGTCTCTATAGAACTAATGATGTATCCAGAAGCATAAAAAGGAGCTGTACTGTTCGAAGCATATTTAAATGCCGAAAATGAATGGAGATTGGTACAGACTCGTTCGATAAATGCGACTGAATGACCCTAATAAATATTTTTACTTTCGTGTAACGTGCCTTCAATTTGATGAACTTCTATCAATGGTGGGACCAGAAATAAAGAAATTAATATCACAACTGAACCCTTATCTCCTGCATATTTTGTCGCATGAGTATGAACGTCAAATTCTGTCGGAAATTTCATATTTTCCGATTCGCATAAATTTTGCGGAATTCGTACAAGCATGAACATACCTTTTTATATGAATATTTCATGATTGAGACAATAAACGAGCGCCTCGTGAGAGTTGCGCACACTGCATCCACCATTCTGGCTTCCAACATAATTGACGTTTCAAATGTCCAAAATTTTATCGCTGAAAAACAATGAAGGTTGGTCACGTGTGGCTAATAAGGCTTCCGTATTGGTAGAGCAAGGCCGATAAAATTCAGTAAATAATAAAATATTACTGTAATACAGAAAAAACTGTGAAAATGGCCGATTCTGATTGATTCTAGAGACCAAAAGTGGAATAGTCGACAGTAAGAACACAAGAGCTTGAAAAATCTTTGAATATTTTCAATGGACCCCGCACTTTATACAGGATGTATTCAATTGATGGCTAAAAATAAATGATATGTTTCCTCAGCTCATTTCAAGAGGAAAAGTTTTCATGAAAGTATGCCCTAAACCTCTCAACTTTAGAGCTATAGGGCGTTAAAATTAGACATGCACCAACTAAGCACGAATTGATCGAGAAAACATCAAGAGTCCGCAGGGGTGCGTTCTAGATCTAGAGCACACCCTTATGAGGTATGACGTCACGCATTCATGGTCATTTTGCCGTTTAGAAACACTTCAGAACTATAAATTCATTTTTACAATATCTGAAATACACAACAAGTTGATTGAAGGCTCATCTACTGAGACTAAAATGACTTTGGAATAATAACCTCATTGAAATTTGAGATAGTTCTTTCAATAAAGTTCAACATTATCGTTGATGTTCTTCTGTTTGTGACAGCTCGGTGCTTGAATCGATCCAAAGATACCTCAATTACATACCTTTTTCGCAATAGAGACCTGGCTGTAGCTGATTCGATGTGGAGCGTTACCACCGATACAACAAGGCCTGCATGCTCCGTGGGTGACGTCACTTAGTCAGGCCTAACCAGCGGCTCGAAACGACAAGCGCTTATAGCGTTATAAGGCGACCGCGTATTTCGATTTTAGTTTTAGATCATCATTGAGCCGATTTTGCTGTTTTTTGAAGGGCTTCCGGTTAAAAAAGGATGCCAGTCGTCAACTGAGCCCTTCTTCGCACCCCATTCGATTTTATTATGGAAAAACGAAGTTTTAAAGCAAAAACCAGGATAAAACACAAATATCCACCTTCAGCAACCCATTCGAATTGAATATATTGGCAAAAATTGTGGTGAAGATAAACTTCACACCTACTTATACAGGGCCCGCAGAACATAAACTTATCGTGAGATTGATCGAAAGAAAATTGTGGAAAATGTATTTTATTTTGATTGACATGCCGTTTGTTACAATTACCTATATTTATCTTGGAGAATTCCTAATACCTGAAAAAATAACTAGTGAGTGTTTTCAATTTTCTGTCGTTGGATTTTTCACCCAAGTGGATCGTTACACTTGAAACCGTAATTTTTAAGGGTAAAACTGCATTTATCATGCGATGGTTTTTTTTTTGAAAATTTGTTTCGGTACTCACGTATTTTTGTCTGATAAACCGAATTTTATAATGAAAATGTGAACAAACCACTATTTATTGAGATATTTCAAGGAAATGTTCGAAATTTCGCCTTCTTTCTCCCCTTGTGTTGGGGGCATTTGAAGCTACTTGCTCTTATTTTGTCATTGGATACTTTATATACTCATGATGTACTTCGATGGCACATTTTTATATAGAAAATTCAACAGGAAATATGATTTTTATGGCGAGTTTTTCATATTTAGTGAACAAGCATTCCAGATGACGACCATTTAATCAATAGTCAATCAAAATACGAGATGTCAAATGTCAATAGATTGCTTTCGAATGACATTACACACGCTATTATTTTGATTGATAATCTTCCTTCTTTTCACTAAATATGGATTAATCTCAAGAAAATCATATTTATAGTTGAATTATATATAAATTGTCTAATATGATGAAAAAAGAAGGGAAATTTGTTCTAAATGCCATCCAGAAGACAGGTGAAAAAGAAGGTGAAATTTGGAACTTTTTAGTCAAATATCTTCATGATAAATATCATGATAAATGCAGTTTTACTTTTTTAAGTAGTGTTTGTCGTTCATGTTAATATGATAGTTGCAATTTGATCATTGGAATGAATTCTGCATTCATTGCCACGAGGCAAATGACCGTTTTCAGAAAGAAATTTGAGAATGAGAATTGAAAATGCCCGTTCTTTATGAATATTCAAGAAAATTTCCTCGAATTCAGAGATGATTTTGTTGACTATAATATACGAATACAAAACTAACTGCACAATCAAAGCTTTTCTATTTTTCCTCTACTTATACTTTTTATGAGAGAGTAATTGTCTTTCATTATTAATTCATCATTATGAATTAAGCTCTGTTTACTACTGAACTTAGATGGAGTAAAATCCTCGCGGTGAATTGCATATACCCACATTATCGATAGCTCCTCGTCCAACGGGAAACTAAAAGCATGAACTTTTGAACCACCCACACAATTCCCCCGACAGAAGGGAACACAAAACTTGAAAGGCATTGTTATTTCGCCGATCACAACACAAAATATTTCACAAAACAGTAATTTTTCCGCCAATTATTTTGATGAATAAACAACAAAAGAATTCGGGACCGTTTCAAAAACATACGTGAATCACCGATGAATTAACACGAACTGACGCGTTAGTCGACAAGCGATAAAATAAAACACTGGCCTCACTTGGCGACGTCACGAGCTGTTTACGTCAGAGTCTGCTGGCCTTGTTGTATCGGTGGTAACGTATGGAGAGCATATAAAACAAATATAACAGACGTGACATGCAGTTAGAATGGCAAAAGTTAGAATTGTTTGTGTTAACATTTTGAATATAATATCAATTGCTTTCAATAGTGCCAACAGTTATGCGCATGACACAATTCAAACACCCCAACGTCGCAGTATTTACCTCGACGGAAAGTTGTCGCTCCGGCATTTCGTCTGTTGTCTCCTGGAACGGCACAGTTCGACAACTATGACGTCATAGTTGGGTTTCCGGAAAGGCATGTTGAAAACGGAAGCAGATTCGTTCCCGAAACGTCCAAAGATAAGTGAAAAATTGATATATTTTATATATACTTTTATTTCTCTTCTCCAAACCATTTTCAATACAAATTGCCACTGACAAACTAGTAAATTTTTCTTTCAGGCTCTCTGATAGGAAAATTCTTTAAACGCAGTGACATTTTGGGACAAATCATCTGATTTGTCCTAACTAAACGTATATTGAAATAGTATTCATAGTTTTATTTTATAGAGACGAAGAGATAAAATCCCAAAAATATGTGGAAAAAGGAATTCCTTCCTTCCTTTGACACTCCACTTTGAGCAATATGGACTTCTACCAACTTTCAGGGTCACCCTATATTTTACTGATCGAGTTTAGAAATCACCTTGATGCTGATGCCGTACTGAGAGAAATCCTTGTCGTTGTCTCCGGTGCAAATCGAAATTTCACCGGCGCATCCCATCTTTTCGAAAGCTCCGGCAAACTCGAGGTTGATTTCGGCCAAGAGGTCTTTCAGGGGCCCCAGCCACTCCTGTTGCGTTTTGTCCATTTTGTCGGTCACCTTGAACGAAGGATTTTTTTTCGATGATTTCGTTTCAACATGGTGACTTCATGGAAATTACTCGACTATGTAGGGGAGGTATAATATTGTCTGGTTAGCAAAAGAGGTTGTTCATACTTAGTAATAATCAGAGTCACTGGATGTTATCAGTTAGATAAAAGTTCGGACACAGAAATCACAACTATTTCAATATTAAGCTCAACTAAGTTACACACCTTGCATTTTGACAAGAGCACCATAGTCGTGCCGCGTTTCTTCATTCAAATTTGTTTGAATTCGACAATACATTTCATGAACGTCAGAATTGAACTATAATTTCATAAACTATTGAGAAAGAAGCATACATGAAAATGTCTTGCTGTGTAATGAATTGTGGGAATTCTGAAGAGAATGGAGTTCATTCATCCAATTTTCGGTAAAACTGCATTTATCATGCGATGGGTTTTTTTCGAAAATTTTTTTTTTGGTACTTACGTATTTTTGTCTGAAAAACACGAATTTGATAATAAAAATGTGAACAAACCATTATTTATCAAGATATTCCACTATGAAGTTATAAATTTCACCTACTTTTCCGCCTGTCTTCTGGATTGAATTTAAAACAATTCACCTTTCTTTTTTCATCATTGGACAATTTATATACAGGGTGGCCCACGGTCGATGGTACCTTAGACGTATACGGAAAACAGTACATTGAATTATCCTGAAAATTCGGTTACTCTAATAAGCGTTTGTGATCTAACGAGTCAAAATATTTTCAGAGATGCAGCGTTGCCACTTTTACCATAGAGTAGCATCATCTTTGTTATTTCAAATGGAACACCCTGTATTTCATTGCGTTTTTAAATTCTTCTCGAAGAGCTGATTTCATCAATGCATCACACTCGGGGTCTAGCAGGAATTATTACAGAGATATAGGGTGTTCAAAATCGAGATTTTTCAATTTCAGGAATTTTTTGTGTCGAAACTATTCATTATCGATCAAAACGGCTTACATGTCCCTATCTCAACTTTCGATTCACTATCTACTGACATTTAATTGGAACAGATACAGGGTGATCAAAATTCTGAATCTTGTACCATCCTGTATTTTTTCCAATTAAATGTCGGTAGATAGTTGGTCAAAAGTTAATATAGGGACATGTAAGCCGTTTTGACCAATGATGAATAGTTTCGACACAAAAAAATCCTAAAGTTGAAAAATCTCGATTTTGAACACCCTATATCTCTGTAATAATTTCTGCTAGACCCCAAGTGTGATGCATTGATGAAATCAGCTTTTCGAGAAGAATCTAAAAACGCAATAAAATACAGGGTGTTGTATTGAAATAACAAAGATGATGCCACTTTTTGGTAAAAGTGGCAACGCTGCTTCGCTGAAAATATTTTGAATCGTTAGATCACAAACGCTTATTGTAGTAACCAAATTTTCAGGATAATCCGATGTACCGTTTTCCGTATACGTCTAAGGTACCATAATCGACCGTGGGCCACCCTGTATATCACAATATAAGCCACATTGAGTCCACTAGAAATATGATTTTCTTGCGATTTATCCATATTCAGTGAAAAGAAGGAAGAATATTATTTGAAATAATGGCGTGTGTAATGTCATTCCACAGCAATCTATTGACATTTGACATCTCGAATTTGGATTGCCTATGGATTAAATGACCGTCATCTGGTATGCTTGCTCACTAAATAGGAAAAACTCACCATAAAAATCATGTTTCCTGTTGAATTCTCTGTATAAAAATATGTCAGCGAAGTACATCATGAATATACAAAGTGTCCAATGACAAAATAAGAAGAGCAAGTACCTGTAAATGCATCCAACGCAAGGGGAAAAAGGAGTGGAAATTTCGAACTTTTTTTTGAAATATCTCGATAAATAGTGGTTTGTTCACATTTTCATTATCAAATTCGTGTACCAAACAAAATTTTCGAAAAAAAAAACCATTGCATGCTGAATGCAGTTTTACCCAATTTTCCAAAGGAAATATCAACCATTCTCACATGGAAGGAATGTATGAAATGGCTTGGATGGAAAATTAATTTGAAGACAAGTAGCATTTGTGAGGTATATACATTGAAATTCACTTTTTATAACATCAGATTGGAATGAAACTATATATTAGGCCCATTTTTGAACAGAAGCAAAACGAAATCATCATGGAGAAAGAGGAATTGATTGCAAAACTACTTTATGAAATTCATGGAATCGTTAATTTTTTTCTGACCGTGATTAAAGAGATATAGAAAAACTGAAGACACTTTCTCGTTTCCATTTTCGGAGCTCTAAAAAATAGCATTCAGACATTTTCCGTATGACGTTTCGTTTCGGAGAAACCATCATCAACTAAACCCCATGATAGACATCCTTATCTTGTACTCACTGTACAGGGTGGGCCACCAGTAACGCCTCGGTCTCTAGAAGGCTAACCACTTATCTTCTTGGAATTCTTCCTCTCTAGGAAGTTGCATGTCAACATAGGCTACCATTTGAAATTATTTTGAAACATACAGGATGTCCCTAAAAATCACAAAACACTGAAGTTGAACTTTTTTCAATCGAATACCCTATATATTATTTGATTTTGAGATTCTCCCTGATGAGCTGATTTCAACGACCCATCATACTTGGGGTCTAGCAGTTATAATTACTGAGATATAGGGTGTGAGAAATCGAGATTTTCCAAGTTCAAGAATTTTTTGTGTCTAAACCATTCATAATTGGTCAAAACGGCTCACATGTCCCTATCTCAACTTTTGATCAACTATCTACTGACATTTAATTGAAACAAATACAGGGTGGTGCAGAATTCAGAATCTTGATCACCTGGTATATGTCCCAATTAAATATCAGTAGATAGTTAATCAAAAGTTGAGATAGGGACATGTGAGCCGTTTTGACCAATTATGAATAGTTGCGACACAAAAAATTCTTGAACTTGAAAAATCTCGATTTTTCACACCCTATATTTCAGTAATTATAACTGCTAGATCCCAAGTATGATGGGTCGTTGAAATCAGCTCATCAGGGAGAATCTCAAAATGAAATAATATATAGGGTGTTCGATAGAAAAAAGTTTAACTTCAGTATTTTATGGTTTTTGGGGACACCCTGTATGTTTCGAAATGATTTTAAATGGTAGCCTATGTTGACATGCAACTTCCTAGAGAGGAAGAATTCCAAGAAGATAAGTGGTTAGCCTTCTAGAGACCGAGGCGTTACTGGTGGCCCACCCTGTATATCATTGAATGACAATACCGACCGAACTAGCTATAAGTATATATAGAAGCAGAAGGGTAGTCTTTTGCTGACTAGTTGGTTAAAAACTCTTAAATTATTTGGGACTGCAGCAAAACGAAGGTGTACTCTTATAACATTATATTTCCAATATTTCGACAATGAATATTGTCATCATCAGGGAGCTACAATTTATGAAAATTTCTTTAAAAGGCTCTGTAAAATTATCAGTAAAGTACTTACAATGTCAGTGAGAATGGCAGTGAGAATGGTCGTTGAAAGATGGTAACAGTAGTAGATTCACAAGACACATCAGTAATTTGTAATACATTAGAACAGTGGACACAAGATCAATTTAAAATTGTAATATACATAAGTATATATATATGTGTCTTATAAGTATATATGTCATATAAGTATATATATATGTGTCTATTTCGTCATGTTAAAATTATTATAACTGTTGTTCTTCAAACAGTGCCTCATCGCTATAAATTGAAGTGGGTGTTAATACCCTATTTCTATTTTCCATCTACGGCTATGATTGATTTGACAGAAATTGTAACCTCTAAAATCGTACCTGACAATCAGGGGCTATGGGTTGCGTGCAAGAACTGTCAGATGACCGACACTGGAGGCAAAATATTGAAACACAAACGTCACTTTACCTATTTGTTTACAAGTGATTGAAATAGTTTTTCACAATAATTTTGGCATACGAATCGTATTTTTCCGCTATTCATCAATTCGCTCATGTCATCACATTATGCTGTTGTGAAATGCACCAAAACTGCAGCGGAAGACGAAGTAATCCGGTTGGTACATTATGTTTAAAAGTAAGTACCTACTATAGTCACTCACATATAGTTTTCATTTTTGAAATTTGGTAATTTCTCTGATTTCTCATCGGAATTCTTTCTGCGATAGAAGCTAATAAAAATACATCTGAAATTTCTAAAATAATGCCAGAAAATTGGATTCATGCAATCAATCGGGAGGACTGGTCTGACATGCTGACGATCGTGTGTGTTGTAGACATTTTCAATCTATTAGCAGTATTAGCTTGTATTGCAGAAGTGGCAGAAGGCAGAAGGAATTTTAATAAGGAATGACAACATTTCATAATGATAACTATGTGAGATTACTATTTACCTGAAAAATCATATTCTTTAGTCTCTTGTTGCATTTTTTGTACATTGTACAATAGCACAATGCGAAGGCATGCTCGAATTAATGAATAGCGCAAAAAACACGATTCGTATGCCAAAATATTGTGAAAAACTAGTTCAATCCTTTGATTCCTCTGTAGCCAAGTAAAAAAGTGAGGTTGTGTTTCAATAATTCACAGAAGAATGAGGTTGTGTTTCAATATTTTGCCTCCAGGGTCGGTCATCGTGCACGCGACCTATTAGGGAAGTTGAAGAGACAAAGAGCAGAATATATGTCTTTTTCTTTTATTCACTCAAGCATTGTATTTTAGAAAATAGAAAAGGACAAAAATTCAGCTGTGTCCGAACTCTTATCTACTAATACCATCCAGTGACTCTAGTAATAATTGGAGTCACTTCGATTCAGAAAACTGTAATGATTCCAAACATTTTGAGAAAAAATAACCAAGAAATTCAAATGAAAAATAAATAAATTGAAAATCCTATAAATTGAAAAAAATCCAAAACTCACCTTGCTAAGCTCGCCGTGCAACCGGTCGATCTCTCCAGTGAGCCCCTCGATCTGGTTCAACCTATCTTCGTACTCCTTCAACTCCCCGTCATCCGCCACATTCAAGCACGCTATGCGCGACTGCAGCTGCTCCTTTTTCGCATTGAGTTCGTCGATTTCCGACGACAGAGCGTCGTACTCGCGTCGAAACTCCTCAAAACCTTCGTCGGCAGGCGTAAATCCCTTGGAAAGCCCTTTGGCCTTCAAAAAACGATGTATTTGTGAGTTTTTGATGTTACACGCCTAGCGTTACCATATGGTAATGCTGAAATTTTCGGATAAGCGACTTTCCGATATTCAAGATGGAGTTTGGGATGTTACCTTTCATGCCTAGCATTACCAATCGGTGAAACTTGAGTTTCGGGATCAAGTTATCGCTAGATTGTGTCATGTCATGTCCAGTACACAGCTTCGGGGATGAAAGTACCCTCCATACCGCCTTCTCTTCCAGGGCTCCAATACCAGCCAGGCAAATCAAAAACGAACGAGGGAGAAATGTTGACAATATAAATATGGCAACAATTCTCGAATGGAGATCCAATAACCTGGTAGATTTCAATGCAAAAAAAACACAAGCATGCCTTTTCTCTCGAAAAGCCGATCTCACTGTACCTAACATACGCTTGTCAGGAGTAACCATACCTTTGAAGACATCCATTTCGATGTTTGGTTTTACTATCAGTAATGAACTATCTTGAGAAAATCACGTAAGATCAATTGCTAAAAGTGCTTCCCCAAAACTTGGTTTTCTGATTCGAGCCAGAAGCTATTTCACTTCCAGTCATCTGCTTATGATCTATAAGGCACAGATCCGACCTGTCCTGGAATACTGTTCCCCTATTTGGAGTGCAGCACCCAAACATACCCTGAAACTGTCCAAAAGAGGGAAATTCGTCTCGTGGGTGATGCCTCGCTCACAAACTCACTCACTTCTCTGGAACACCATAGAAAATTTGGCGATCTGGCTCCATTATATAGATATGGAAATATCAACAACTGTTCCTCCCTTGGCGGTCTCCGCGAGATTTACCCGTCGAGTTGAGGCTTCGCACCCCTTCGTGGTCAACTCAGAGACCTGCAGAACATCTCTTTTCAAAGACTCGTTCATCCAACGAACAGCGAGGCTCTGGAACACATTGCCAAGGGAGGTGTTCCTGAGGCATACAACCTCTAGAAATTTAAAAAGAACACCAATTCCTACCTTATTTCCCTGGGTTCTCACGATGTTCTCTAAACATTACAGGATATCCCTTTTCGTGGGAACCAGAACATAAAAATAATATTATCGCTATGCGCAACTGCAGCTGTGCAAGATTATACCTATTATGCGCGACTGCCGCTGCACCTTTCTCGCGTTCAACTCGTCGATTTCCGACGACAGAGCTTCATATTAGCGTCGAAACTCTTGGAAACCATCGTCGGCAGGCGTTAATCCCTTGGAAAACTTGTGTCTTTCAAAAACTGTGATTTACCCCCCTTCACGCCTAGTGTTACCATATGGTAATGCTTGAATTTTCGGAAATAAGCGACTCCCGGATATTGTTGATGAAGTTAGGAATGTTACCCTTTAGTGCTTAGCGTTACCGATCGGTAACACTTGATTTTGACAGTACACATCATCAAGTTATTGCGATATTCTCTCAGATCCTTCCAATTAGTGTCAGTAACAATTTCAAGTTTTTCATCAATTTTATAGTTAGTTTTTGTAATAATTAGAAATGATAAGAGTCCAGCAGCTACTTGGATACGACAAATTCCGTTCCCCCTCCAAATCCACAGTTGTTACCGAAAATACTCGAATCGGTCACAGCATGGGACATGAGATGAGCGTACCAAAATATGAAAATATTTCAAAAGTGACAAAAAAATTATGAATAAACGATCGAGAACTAATGTTCTAATTTATAATCTTCACTATGAATATCGTAAACTATACATTTACTTCAATCTGGCTGTGGATTTGGCCAATAACAATTAAAAACCCTGGTCATGATATATTCATCATATTAAAATGATATTCTCCTGAGAGGGGCTGGAACATCATTAAGTAGGCTAGGCAATCAATATTTTGTATTGTATAGTATTGCAAGGCGACTATCTATCTGTATTACGAGTTCCAGTTTCTTCTCGATCTGATCCTGATCAGGTGAATGATGTCTTCAGAAGAAGATTGAAACTGTTTCAATATTCTCCTGTTTTCCAGAAGATGTTAATTTAGTTAGCGAAACACGTGTCAATGAGTTTGAAAAATCGGTTTTTGTTAGTGGCGCGCTTTCATCGGATCTATTTGTGTTTTCTTCCTCTCTGCCGTATCATTGTACTATCTAAGTAGTGGCTGGACTCTAACACGTATTACATGATAATAATAGAAATACCTTCGATAGCATCGACTTGGCTTGGTTCATGACGTCAGCGTACCGTTCTTTCACGATATCCAACGTGTCTTCGGCCTCTTGAGACTGTCTTCTGTTTTCGTTGATGTCGTTCTCGAGATAAGCCAGCTCCTTGCGTTCCTGATCAAGTTACGAAATATTACAGCTCACTTCTCACCCTAGATGTATAAGCTATACTGATAATATTATAAATAGGAATGATTTGATTGTTTGTTTTTTTGTATGTATTGAATAGGCTCCGAAACTACTGAATCGATTTGGCTGAAAGTTGGTGGGAAGGTAGCTCAGAACCAGGAGAAGGTTATAGGATATCCCGGTACCTTTAGGAAATTCAAGATGGCGGATCTAATATATCGGACGAGTTTTGTAATTATGATCCGATTCTATTCAAAATTGGTATCTGGGGGTTTTCGGGGTCAGAGATCATGATTCTCTCGTCAGAATTTGAAAATTCGGGCGGAATTTGAAATTCAAGATGGCGGAGCCAATATGGCGGACGAGTTTTGTAATTATAATCCGATTCTTTTCAGAATTGGTACCTAGGGGTTTTCGTGTAAGGGTATTATAATTCTTTCGTCAAAATTAGTGAATTCAAGATGGCGGATCCAAAATGACGGATTTTGTAATTAGGATCCGATTTTATTCAAATTTGGTATCTGGTAGTTCTCGCGGTCGGAGATTACGATTCTTTCGTCAAAATTAGGGAATTCGAGATGGCGGACGAGAGTTGTAATTAGGATCCGACTCTCTTCAAAATTGTTATCTGGGTGTTTTCGAGGTCGGAGATAATAATTCTTTTGTCAAAATTCGGAAAGAGCGGGATTTGGAAATTCAAGACGGTGGAACCAATATACCGGACGAGTTTTGTAATTATATACCGATTCTATTCAAAATTTGTAAGTGGGCGTTTTCGGGATGAAAAGTTATGATTCCTTCGTTAAAATTAGGGAATTCAAGATGGTAGATCCAATATTGCGGACGAGTTTTGTATTTATGTTCCGATTCTATTCAAAATTTTCATCTGAGGATTTAGGAGTCGGATATTATGATTCTCTCGTCAAAATTGGGAAATTCAAGTGAATTAAAAAGAAGTTGAAATAAATGGTAGTTAGAAAAACTGAAGAAACACGCTTTTATAGATAGCGAAACTAAAAAGAAGTAGAAAATAAAATAATAATAGTGCCTTGATGAATATTCAACTGAAAAAATGAATTATAGAAATAATGTACAGGGTGATTCATCATAAATGACCCTCCTCTAGCTCACTCATTTTTGAACCGATTTAAAATTTGAAAAATAATCTAAAATTATTTTTCAGAAATTTGTTTCCCGTTGCATCAGAAAATACAGGGTGCTCGGAACCAACGATCTACAGAGTACTACTTGATTTTTTCGAATGGAACACCCTGTATTTCATTGTAATTTTAGATTCTTCCTGAAGAGCTGATTTCATCAATGCATCACACTTGGGGTCTAGCAGTAATGATTACAGAGATATAGGGTGTTCAAAATCGAGATTTTTTAAAATTTTTTGTGTCGAAACTATTCATTATTGATCAAAACGGCTTCTATGCACCTATCTCAACTTTTGATTTACTATCTACTGACATTTAATTGAAACATTTACAGGGTAGTTCAAGATTCAGAATTATGATCACCCTGTATATGTTTCAATTAATAAATGTCAGTAGATAGTAAATCAAAAGTTGAGATACGGACATGGAAGCAGTTTAGACTGGTAATGAATAGTTTCGTCACAAAAAATCCAAAAGTTGAAAAATCTCGATTTTGAACACCCTATATCTCTGTAATCATTCCCGCTAGACCCCAAGTGTCATGCATTGATCAAATCAGCTCTTCAGGGAGAATCTAAAAATACAATGAAATATAGGGTGTTCCATTTAAAAAAATCAAATAGTACCCTGTAGATCGTTTGTTCGGAACACCCTGTATTTTCTGATGTAGCGGAAAAAAACTTTATCGATAATCATTTGAGATGACATTTCAAATTCTGAAATCGGTTGAAAAATAACTGAGCTAGAAGGGTGGGGGGGACATTTATGGTGAATCACCCTGTATATAGAAAAACAATGTTTGTATATTATATTTTGATGAAAAAACTGGTGAATATCCGAGAAAATCGATGCGTAAACAAACATAACAAATCGGGACTAGATGACCGCTCTCCGTGAAATACCTTCCCTTGCTGACGTCAGAATTTGATTACGTCAGAGCATTATGGCCTTATTGTATCGGTGGTAACGTCAGAATCTGGCAATGTTTATCACATTGAAGATCCACTGAGTAAATATAAATAATACAGCCACAACAACAAAAAATCAAAAAGTTAACTACAATCGAATTCATTCCTGGAAAAAAATCCATCTGGCTTCAAGAGCAGCAAAAAATTTCGACATCAAAATAAGCGTCTCTACTTCTTTTCTGTGAAGTTGTATCGTTGTATTCCACATGAAATGACACGCAATTTTCAATGACAATACAGTGTGTCCCACTTACCATGCTCACCATGGGTATCTTTTTAACGGTGAGAGATACGAGGTCGGTTGAATGACACCAAATGTGAAGTTTGTCAAGGCCAACTATAATGTGAAAAAATATTTTGATAAAATCTATTCGTTTTTGTTTTATACGCAAAAAACAGATTTTGATCATTTTCATGTCTCCTCCATAACTTCTTTATTTATGAAAATATTCAAATGGGAATTTCACATTCTCATGGCAGTTTTTTAGAGTGATTTCGAAAAAAATATGAAATTTATACCAACTCTTCTAGAATTTGAGATATCAGCACTAACTTTAGTTTTTCAAATGTAGGTCATAGCTCACTATGACTTAGTTACAAATAACTTTTTTTTCTCTTACAGATGATATGTCGCAGTAATAGTTTTGTGTTGATAACAACGGAGTTATCGTCCTCAAAAACTCCCACTTACCAATTTTGAATGGAATCGGACCAAATCTTGTCCGCCATCTTGGAGCAGCCATTTTTTTTGTAATTTCAACAAAAATTCCATGGCTCCGATTAACTTGGAATTTGGCAGGTATTCATAATTTCGGTGACAATACATTATGGAATTTTTGTTGAAATTACAAAAAAAATGGCTGCTCCAAGATGGCGGACAAGATTTGGTCCGATTCCATTCAAAATTGGTAAGTGGGAGTTTTTGAGGACGATAACTCCGTTGTTATCAACACATAACTATTACTGCGACATATCATCTGTAAGCGAAAAAAAAGTTATTTTTAACTGAGTCATAGTGAGCTATGACCTACATTTGAAAAACTAAAGTTAGTGCTGATATCTCAAATTCTAGAAGAGTTGGTATAAATTTCATATTTTTTTCGAAATCACTGTGAAAAACTGTCATGAGAATGTGAAATTCCTATTTGAATATTTTCATAAATAAAGAAGTTACGGGGAGACATGAAAATATCAAAATCTGTTTTTTGCGTATAAAACAAAAACGAATAGATTTTATCAAAATATTTTTTCACATTATAGTTGGCCTTGACAAACTCCACATTTGGTGTCATTCAACCGACCTCGTATCTCTCACCGTTAAAAAGATACCCATGGTGAGCATGGTAAGTGCGACACACTGTATACAATTAACTTGTCAAATAAGCAAGATATTGCCCGTATGCGATAGCTTGGGACACCCTGTATGTGGAGATGGATTAAAATGAAACGAAAAGAAAAAATGAATTCTAGTACCTGTTCGATCTTTCTCACGATCAAGGAGCCTTTCTTGACGAGCTCGGCCAGTTTGGAAAACTCCTTTTTCATGGCGTCCTGTATAGCCGGCATGCTCCTCAGAACGGTGAGTCTCTTCTGACCGGCCTCTCTTTGTATGTCCTCGGGATTCTTCTTGCAATTTTTCATCTCGGAGATTTTCCTCTGCAAGGTCTCTATTCTGCCGGTGACCGTTTGAGCGTTTTGTCTCTCCTACAGACAATTTTTTTTATCGTTTGGTAACGAGAGAAAAACAACTACTTTCCTGGCTATATGCCACGCAGAACACTGGATTACATCCTCCCGAAATCTATGCAATAATTCGTATAGACGAATAAAATCGCAAGTTTTTTTGGTCTAGTTTTTGTGCAAAACCTGATAATATCGATTTTGAAAGAGTTATAACTGCATCAGTCCATTAATTATACTGCCGATGAACCGGATCTCAATAAGTAACTTCCTTCCGGGGCCTCTTGCTTTTGTTTTATGCATTCAAATGAATATTTTACCTCTATTAGCATCACTAGATATACTTAGGGTTAAAAGAAAAACTATAAGTACCCTTTGTATCTAAACCGTATGTGGCTGTGCTTCTACTGATACAGGGCGTCTGGCAACTGACTAGTCGCTAACATTTGTATGAAGGCAATTCAGTTGAGAATACAGCAACTAGAAAGCTTTGCACATAATAATAATAGTTATTTATTATACAAGGGAAAAAAGTTGTAGATTTTAGCACCAGGAGACAACAAACCGTGTGCTAAAATCTAATATTTTTCCCGTGTATAATACACTATTTTTTTCTGTGACAGGAAGAAAGACGCTTTAATATTACATAATAAAATCAGAAAATTATCAATGTGAAATGTGTACTTCTTACACCTCCATTGTGGGCATCTTTGTTGCTATGTCATTCTATTGTCATATTCTGTCAATGTAATTCTGTGTTTCGATTTTTGATTTGAAAATCATTGCGAACTTATATATAGTGATTTAGTAGTTATTTTGAATAATATTAAATGTCTGAATTCGAGTTTTCTCTTACTCCACCGGAGTTATTTGAAGCAGCGAAAGAAGCGTCACAAAAATTATTGCCAGCTAAATCGCAGAAAATTTACGAAACCGCGTATTCAAGATTCATGGAATGGAGAATGAAAAAGTCATGCAGTTCTTTCTCGGAAACGGTGGTATTGGCCTATTTTTCCGAACTGGCTCAGCAACAAAAGCCATCAACAGTGTGGTCAAATTATTGGTGAAACTGCATTTAGCATGCGATGGTTTTTTTTTCAAAATTTTTTTTTGGTACTTACGTATTTTTGTCTGAAAAAACACGAATTTGATAATGAAAATGTGAACAAACCAATATTTATCAAGATATTTCACTATAAAGTTACAAATTTCACCTTCTTTTCCGCCTGTCTTCTGGATTGAATTTAAAACAGTTTACCCTTCTTTTTTCATCATTGGACAAATTATATATATCACAATGTAAGACACATTTTTTTCTATTATTAAGTCAACTAGAAATATAATTTTCTTGTGATTTATTGAAAAGAAGGAAGAATATCATATGAAATAATGGCGTGTGTAATGTCATTCCAAAGCAATCTATTGACATTTGACATCTCGTATTTGGATTGCCTATGGATAAAATGGCCGTCATCTGTTATGCTTGCTCACTAAATAGGAAAAACTCACCATAAAAATCATATTTCCTGTCGAATTTTCTGTAGAAAAATGTGTCATTGAAGTACATCATGAGTATATAAAGTGTCCAATGACAAAATAAGAAGAGCAAGTACCTGAAAATGCATCCAACGCAAGGGGAAAAAGGAGTGGAAATTTCGAACTTTTCTTTGAAATATCTTGATAAATAGTGGTTTGTTCACATTTTCATTATCAAATTCGTGTTTTTCAGACAAAAATACGTAAGTACCAAAAAAAATTTTCGAAAAAAAAACCCATCGCATGCTAAATGCAGTTTTACGAAATTATTCAATGATTAAAAGTATGTTAATATCCCAAACTAATTACATTCCTGAAACAAAATGGGAAAGGTTACAAACCCAAGAAAGCAGCGATTTTTACGAGTACACAAATTGGCGAATTTTAAAATAATGCTCCCGATGAAGTTTATTCAATGGCCAAAGTTGTTGTTGTATTCGGGATTGCAGGAGCTTGTCGAATTCGTGAAATCAGCCAGGTAACATTTGATGATATTGAAGATTCAGGAACGATATTAATTGTGAAACTCAAGCAAACAAAGAATGATGTGGACAGAAGATTTGTAGTTACTGAAGAATATATTAAATTTTACCGAACATACATAGCCCTGCGTCCAGCAACAGCAAAGGATCGCCGCCTGTTTTATGCATATCGCAATGGAAAATGTATCAATCAAGTTGTGGGTGAAAGTCAGTTTTACAAGGTACTTGGAACAGTAGCTTAGTTTTCTAAAACTTGAAAATGCTACCTCATATACAGGTCATTCATTTCGAAGATCATCTGCTACACTTTTAGTTGAATCTGGGGGAGATTTGCTGACACTGAAGAAACATGGCGGTTGGAATTCATCAACGGTCGCTGAAGGATATGTTGATGAATCGGTATCACACAGAACAGAAATAGCTCATAAAGTATTCAGAACTTGTGGCATTGCCGAAATAACACCCCATTTGCAACCAGGTACATCAACGGCAGTTGTGTCCATGACAGAAAGAAAATATAATTTCAACACGAGAAAATTCTACTGTTGTTCCGAATACTTCAAGGAACATGTCATTCATGCAATGCACATTCAATAATTGTACTTTTGATTTGAAGGAAATGTAACTTTCGTTTAATAAAATATTCTGAATCAAATATCTACCATACTTATGAGTATCCGGGAAAAAAGTAATTTTTGAAAAGTGACATTTTATAACCTGTCAACAGAGATGAAATGTCAAACTTTTTTCCCGTCACAGAAAAATAATACTTTATTTTCTTTGTTACATGCAGAAACTTGTATAGAATTTGTCAAAGACGATTACTAAAGCTAAAACTAACTAACTAAAATAGAACCGAAGCTGAGACTTCAAAATTCAAAATGCATCTGAGGTGTAAAATCCACCCTTTATGAGGTATTTCCTAAGAGATTGCTTGAATGCTTTCAATTTAACACATGATTTAATGTCGGCCGGAAGTCGGTCAGTCACAGTAGGTGATCTATAAAAAAGATTATTTCTTGAAAATGGCATATGTGTTATTAAACTCATCCATACTTTAACAAAGGAAATTAACATGTCAATCACCTTTCTAATCCTTGATATAATGTAAATATATCCTATACCCGATCTGGTGGAATTGGCACCACAAGGAGTCAGAAAACCAATAAAGACAACAGAAGAAGCATAAGAATGGCATATGTAGGTCATTTTGCTGTCTTGCGTTGATAAAATGAATTTGTTTGTTAGTTCTAAAAGAGGTTATGTTAGAAAATATAAAAAAATACTTCAAAGATATACAAACACGGTAAAGTTAAAATTTCATAAGATTTAAAAATACTTCGACAACTAGTGGTACGAGAGACACCTGCGATACAACGAATTAATTTTTTCTGCGAGATGAAGACATCATGGAAACAAGTGGATGTTTCCCAAAAGTATATTCCGTATCTTAGTCGGAATTTGACCTGTACATAATATAACATTATGAATTGGTTTTCTGTTCAAACTGATCTCATGTTTATGAAAGGATAGATGACGGAGTTGAGTTTCGAAATTACTCACTCACAGTGTCTCCTCCAATCAAGACACTCATCAATGTATAGGCCTAGAAACCTCACGCATGCCACATTTTCCAACACTTCATTATTGATGTTTCAATGTATGTTTGGTACTTGTTTTGGTTTTTGATGAAAATGTATTGACTGTGTTTTTTCTGCATTTAGATGGAGTGAATTCATGCAGAACCAATCATATAGTCTAGGAAGAACTTCATTACATTTTTCTTCAAAGGAATAATTAGATTTTTTCGAAATGGATGTATCGTCCGCATACAGCCTAAAATGTACCGATGTCATTTACATATATTAGGAATAATAGTGGGCCCACCACTGACCCTTGAGGAACACCTACACTGATATCAAGATAATCCGAGTTACAGGTATTCACTGATTGCTCGCTCGCACCCGAAAGACTAACGTACTGGCGACGTGCGAGAAAATAAGATTTTATCCATTCCAGGGCAAGTCCCTCATTACCAATTCTAATCAATTTTTTGAATTGACAAAATTCTCAAACACACGACATGTTTCGCTAACACAGTAGCTTCGTCAGGTGATATACTGGTACAATGAACTAAACTAACGTTGGCTTGCTTGACTTTTATATATCCTTCTTTCCTAAACTGAAGGATTAGTTACCTATGGACATGTCCGATAAACCTCTGTTTCCGGAAATTGGGCACAATATCTACATTAAAATACGATATACCGGATTAACTTGAAAGAGTTGATAGCAAATACATATTATTACTTACTAAGAAAACAAATTCAACAGTGGTGAACTATTGAGGTCTAATTGATCATTGAGTAAAATGTCAACATTTTTGAGTATGTTGATTTCTAATGATTCAAAATGATTGAGTTTCAGTCCTTTATTTTCTACGTGTAGAATTTCGAAATTATCATCAAAACTATGGTTTTCTTCCTGTCAGTGTCTGAAATGCCATTTTATGAGGCTGTTATCAAAAGTAAAATATCTTTAGCACTAGTGCTAAGTAACCTATTTCTATGAGAAAATATAAAAACATAAATGGAAATGAAGTGTTTATTCAATTAAACTTACAATTAGTGGTAAATGTAACAGAATTTATTTTGGAACAGAGATCAATGTTATCCGCCGAATCTTTGGACACAATTTGATCCACAACGTTCTGATTCCTTTGTAGAAAAATAGTGTATGATATACCTGCTAAAAGTGATGTTATTTTGTTTGAAGGGATGAAACACTGCAGCACTTATATCATAAATAACTATTATTTCTAGGCCGCCAAGCGAGTCCCCCCCGAGTCACTACCTTGTAGCAATGGGTCGTGAATATTCATAAGTTGAAGCAAAATATTCATCACTTACCATATTGGAAAAGAAGAGATTCCAACATTTTTCAATTTCACACTTTTCAATGTTACACAGCAAAACACTTGAATTTCACACAACACATACACACAGCCTCACAAATCCACTACTCTATTATCACAAAACTAAACGAGGAGGAACTTCTTTTGTCACTTGATCATTTTTTAATTACTTCAATCGACCGAACACCATGGAATTCAATGTGTGACTGATGCCTATGTTTCAATTCATCACCTTATTGACTAATTATTAGTTACGTCACCTACTCTGCTGATTAAAATCCGAACAAGTTATTTATCTATGACTAATGATAATCCATATGAATAAGGAGAAGAGGAAAGGAATTTGATACATGAAGCAGAATGAAATACAGGGTCATCCGCGTGTGTGTTTGTTTCATGTATATGAAGAATCAAACACACTTCTCAAGAATTGATACTAAATGAGAAATAATATGAATAGTTTTGAGTGGCAGAGATGTTGTTTAGTCACCCGAAAATTATAGGGAATCTGTGTGCTAGAGATGCTTTCCTGCATCACGAATATGATTGTTTTTCGGTGAGTCAAATATCCCCATTAAACATAAATTTTTCATGGATTCAATTCAATTGATTCTAGAGGATAATAAATGGATAACTATTTGTTAATAAATGTTAAAGAGCATATACAGTGTTTCAAAACTCAGTATCAAGATTTCAGGTGGTAATTTTTCAGATCAAATTAAGACTTTTTTCCTATGTGTCCGAAAACTTTGGTACATAGGTTACGTTCTAGAGTTCAAATTATACAGTAGGTCGAGTGATTGTAAGTTTCAAGGTCAAGCCCATCTTCGCATCATACACTTATTTGTCGTGCGCCACTGCTACATATTGAAATCACTGAACTATACCCTACAAATGGAATGCTGATGCAGCTACCTGCGCGTGAAAATGTTACGCCTCCCAGGAGATCTTGACCTTAAGGTTCTGCGTCGGCGCAGTAGAACCAAGATATGAAAAGAATGTCCGTGATTATTGAAATTTCTTACAGCCGCAGACGTATGTCGTTGATTAGGTGTGATCCCATCAGGAGAGGCTTGAATATTTTTGTGCCCATCATCTGCCACACCGTTATTATTGTTTGTTTGTTTGTTTGTTTCGTGAGTTTCGTTTATATTTTTGAGTTGTGATCGTGATTTTGGTGACTTATCAGTTTGAAGACTATTATTAGACAATATGGGCCAGGGATGCATGGTGTTCTTGTGCCGAAATCGGAAAAGAAAACAAGGTTTATCCTATTTCAAGTAAGTTATCAAACAAACTCGAATGTACTAGAATAATAGATGTGAATTCATACCAGTATATAGCTGATAATAAGAACAACAATTTTTCAGAACTACAATTAAGAATTAACAATCAACAATTAATAATCATAAGGGTGTTTATACATATCTGAGATAATTTGGGAATTAGATGTGAAATGTCTTTTGATAAAAAATCAAAATGATGTTAACAAGTGATTTTGGTCCCCACAATTCATGAATCCATAAGAAAAAATATCACACCAAACTCCACTTGAACAATAATATGAATCCAATCTTCATGTTATGTCTCCAGAATCTCCTAATTCTCAGTTGTTGAGTTGAAAGTTGGCCAACTTTGTAATTCTTAATATAACTGACCTGAGTTCACAGTTGTTAGTTTAATTCTCAGTTCAGTTGAATCTATAAATCCAGCTTTACCTTATTAGTATATATGAATATAGATAGGTTTTAGAAAAACATTAGGGGTATTCCCGGTCCTCGTATAATGCTTCGTATTATCGTATTTTCGTATCGTCGTATTCAGCAAACTAATCTGATTGGTCGATTAGGATACGCGGTCCTTCGTAACTTTACACTACCATTTTCTTGTGTAAGATTACAAAATTTCCGTTCTTACGAAACTGTTCTGACAGAATTTTGTCGCGTGACCGGTTTCAAGTGGTGAGGTTAGGGTTATTGTTATTATTCAAAATTATGATTAACGATTTTTTATTGTTTGAGCTGCGTGTGGCCTGAGCATAAAGCACAATATACCTCTGTTTATTGTAACTAATCTCTGGTATTGAGCATTTTGATTTGGATGAAGGTATTTTGAAAATGGTAAGAATAAGAACAAGAACTATGTGTCAATCTTGGAAAAGGACTTGAATTATTGAAATTGTATTTTCAGTCATGCAGTTCTAGCTCTGTTTCCAAGAAGAAACAAGGCCCTCATAAAAAGTGGACAGATGATGAATTTGAATTTTTCAATTTCGTACTGGAAGCTTCGGAATGAACTGACAGTTCGACAGTTGACATTGCTATGGGTCGTTCCCGTGTTTGAGGTTTCGTAACAATACGTAGGCCATTTTCGTAAATATACGAAATCAGATACGAGGGCTCCGGAATACCCCTAGTATATTTTTTGTGTTTTCAGCTTGACTCAAAAGAGATATTCCTCATGGATGCAGGCACTGGATAGAGATCCTAAAGTTGAGAAACTTAGCCAGGCCAACTGTATATGTGAAGAACATTTCTCCAATGAAGATTTCACATATTCCAATAACAAAAAATGTTTAATGAATAACAGAATGTATTTCATATTGTCTTTCCCAAAATGTATTTGCGTCTATCTTGCCTTAAAAAAATGTTTTCGGTTGGTAATTATTGAATAAAAATGTAGTTGCCTATTCAATGTTTTATTTAATGTTTTCAATATTATTACTCAGTGAAAAACGAGGTGAAAAATATATCAGCATTATTCACCTACCTATATTTATATGTATAATTTAATTTCATTTGGTGAGAATGTGTACTAGCTACCCTTTTTCACCTTTTGAACAAAATTTCAATTTTTTGAGCCTCAAAGTCTGTTGTCTATTTTCTCTGTTCCAGATAAAAATATCAATTCCATCAAAGAAAAAATATATTTTCGAATGATAATTTTTACGAAGCTCGGCAAAATAACGCCGAAGTATTTTGTGTTCAAATGTCAACGTTTGATAACAGTCTTCGAAAAATGCAAATTCACAAACTATTATACATTATAATTCAACATACTTCAATGGGCAAGAAATAAACGTTCATTGGCAAGACCGGCCCTGGTTTCAATATGAGTGCGCATGCTCACAACCTTAAATTCGCCATGTCTGCGCGAGGTTCAAATGAGCGTATTATTGATATGCATCGGCATTCCATTTGTAGGGTATAGGTCAGTGATTGAAATACGGAATGGTTTCTTTGTTTCATTTGTGAACTTTCTTGTCCCTTGTGATTTTCACGCATCTGCGACCGTTATCAAGAAAAAAAAAACATTTTGTGTAATTTGCTAGATTAAATTCAGTAATGTATTATACAAGGGAAAAAAGTGGTTGATTTCAGCTCCAGGTTGTGTTGTGACATTTTATAACCTGTCAACACAGATGAAATTTCAAACTTTTTTCCCGTCACAGAAAAAAATATGTTTCTCTGTATATCAGTAACAAAGCGTTTGCGGGCACCTACTTATAAAAAAAAAGTCTTATTTGGACCTGCAAAATAAGTCCCTGGAATCTTGATACTGAATTTTGAAACACACAGTATTATCTCAGAATCAGTTATATTGTTTTATTACACAAAACATATATAATTCAATGTTCTGTAGTATCAGTCAGGACCGTACTTGTTTTCTGTTAGATATTACAACGATGATTTTCTAAGTTCTCAAAAAATCCCTGTACGTACTGAATACACATCTCCAATCAAATCTAAGAATGTAAAAATGTAATATTTCGTCCCCTATACAGGCTGATTTTAAAATAAGTGCATATATTTTAAACACTAAGAAAGCCTGAGGTATACTACCGAATAGCACTATTAAAAATATTATTAGGATCAAAATAGATTTGGGGCAAAATACCCTTTTTCCGCCCAGATTTCTACTTCTGTCACAACTATCGTTTGCGATCCGCAGTCGACCGTGATGAACGAAGCGACGTTGCCACTCTACATGAAAATTAGGAGATATTAAATAAAATGTATAATCGAGAAAATGTACATGGGGAAGAAGTTAACCCTGGTCTTGAATTTCAGGAAGATAATACAAAAACTTCAAAATGGACTCACCCAAGATTTCTACACATAAGCTCGAATAGCGTATAACTTAACACCTCACGGTTGGAAGTTCTTTTACTGAAAAATCCTTTAGACCCTTCCTTCCACCTCCTTGCATCGCTACAATTTCGTGTCCTTCGAGGAGTCTCATGGGCCCCGCACAATAACGACCCGACATAAGAACCATATCATTCGGTCGATTTTCAACTTTGTGTATGTTGTGTACCTATTTATTGTCTGCTAATTTTGTATCTACCCGCTGGGGCCTTATTTTCGAATTGAAGGAAGGGGGACGTTCTATCATTCCCCTCATGTTTCTCTCCGTCTCTCGTGATCCATGGAGATAATCACCCCACAGTTCTCTCAGTAAACTTTAAAAAATAAGGCTCCTGTACATATTACATTCACCTCTATTAGTTTCCACAACCTATTCCAATTCATATTCATTCTGTGACAAATTTTTACCAGGATATTCGTCTCTGAAACAATCTGGCATCACTGTCTTGTTTTGACGTTAGTGAATGACGAATTGGGGATTCCCTGGCATTCCGCAGATTTCACTTGCTTCCCAGTGGCGTACTCGAATTTCGAAGCATTTTAGGTTCAATTTTCAAAATGAAATTTCTCGTTAATGTGAAGACTTAGGAAAAATCAAATAGTTTAGTAATTTTTGTTAGACTCTCTCATATATATGTCTTGAATATATGCACTCATTTCAAAATCAGCCTGTATACAGCCTCAGCTATACGGGGTGGAAAAAACTTGGAATTTGAAAAATGTAGGGTTTCATTTGTACAATCTTTTAGCACGCCTCAAACAATCAGATGTAAATTGCAAAATAGAAAAAAAAAGTTCAAATCAGTTTTTTTCCAAACATTGAAAGTTAGGGGTGAAAATATAAAGAGACACTCTGTATCAAACAGAAAACCGAGATACTCACCTGTTGAATCTCCCGTATCTTCGCCCTGCTGACGTTGATCTTCTCGCTCACCGACTCGAACTGCGTATCGAGCGCCCCGCATTGCGCATCGTAGTTGGCCAGGTTGCGTTTGATCTCCTCTATTTGCCCTCTCACTCGCTCCAGTCTCACCACGTCCAACGATTGAGACAAGCCGCCGTCAGAGCCCACTTCGACTTGCTTAGTGCTCTTTTGGCCCGAGTACTTCGAGAAACTGATCCCGTATCGGTAAACATCACTGAAGAACGTTCTTATCTGTTCTGGCACCTGTACAAAATACAAAAGCAATTCTCATATCAAGAATCGGACATATTGGTCCTTCGAGCCGGATCTATTTAAATAAAACTTTCAAGACTGCCATGTTCTTCATGGAGGATACAGAGCAGCACCCTTGAATAACAGTAAATGCCAAGCAACTGGAGCTTTCACAGATAACAACAAGCAGTTCAAGAGAACAGACACCGCGAATCATTCATGAATCATTGAAAAGTATACGCCAACAATCATAAACACCAAACACGATCAAATGAATGAAATTGCGAATGGTGGGGATAAATCTGTGCATTGTAGTTGGCCAAATTGCGTTTGATCTCCTCTATTTGCCCTCACACTTGCTCAAATCCCATCATGTCCAATGATTGAGACGAGCCGCCGGTAGACGTCGCTGAAGAACGTTTTCATCTGTTCTGGCACCTGTTTTGATATTGGGACGAGTGAGAACTTTTTTGTCTGACCGTTAGTAACGGTTTGTAGGCAGACTAAATAACAATAGATAGACGCCGCGATTCAGCCATCAACCATTGAAAAGGATACTTCAACAATCCTAAACGACAAACACGAATAAATGAATGATATCGCGAATGATGTCAAGATTAACAAGAATAATACAGAAGGGAAATCTGATGAAGTAATTCTCGCTATTGGAGTACCTCAGGGGAGTATAGTAGGACCTCTGCAATTTATAATTTATGTAAATGATCTAAACTGCATTATTCTACCTGATAATGAATTTTCTAGATTGGTTAACTATGCTGATGATTCAAATATTTTAGTAACGGCTGCGGATATGATAGAGCTTATTAATATTGCTGCCAGTGAGCTGCAAGATGCAAAATATTGGTTTCTGATGAATAGAATGGTGCTTAATGAATCAAAAACAAGTGTTATGATTTTCAAAACCAATTATGCCCGATCTGAATTGCCACATGTCATCAAACTGATAGAAGTGCTGATGTTTCATCAAGCACAAAATTTATGGGAATCCATCTGGATAGCTTCCTTGCCTGGGATATCCATATTGAATTCATTAGTAAAAAACCAAGTTCAGCATGTTATAGTTTGAGGGTCCTGAAAAGTTATTTAGATTCGAATGTTCTGAGAATGGTGTACTTTGCAAATTTCGAATCAATTTATAGATATGGGATGATATTTTATGGGGGTAGTAGTACAAAAGAGAATGCTTCGAACAATGCTCAATATGAAAAATGCGGTTTCATGCAGAGGAAGATTTAGAGAGAATAAAATTCTTACTGTAATAGGAGTATTTATTCAGGAATGTCTAGTTTGAGGAATAAAAATCTAGTGTATCCACGATATAGATTAACAGCCACTGAACATGGAGCATCATATAACTGCATCAAAATGTATAACAAATTGCCGAGTACTATATTGCTCTCTAATGATGTCAACAAGGTCAAAACAAAAGTACATGAGCTATTATTAAACCTAGAACCATATAATGTAAGTGAGTATTCCGAAATGTGAAACCCTAGATCTAGACACTATTTTGTTTAAATATTCCCTTACTGTCTATGATAATATTGTAATAATGCCTCAAAATAATGATTATTATTATTATTAATAATAACAGACCCTTGTACATTTGCGGGTGAGTGGTCAGACTAAATAACAATAGATAAACAAGGCGCTTCATTCATAAATCATTGAGAAGTATACGCCATTAATCCTAAACGACAAATACGGATTAATGAATGATATCGCGAATGGTGGGGATAAAAAAACTATAATTAATTCGAAACAAACAGACTTTTCGATATTGTCGTTACTCGGATGAACCTTTACCACTTCTCGCAACTTAAACATCTCTTTTACCTCATGTATCAACCTAAGAGTACTCGCTTGGCTATTTCACAAGAGAATGTTCAGTATTTCATCACGCAATCACATTCCGAAATAAAGATAATTGTTTTTTCAAAAGTACAACAAACAATTTATTCAATCACGAAAACATAAAAATGTGCCAAAAAGGCGGAACAGCAAAGAACAAACATGAAACGAGCGAACAACAGAAACAAGATGATGGTTCTTGGTACTTACATTATGTTATGGGCAGCAGCACCAAAGTCGAGGAGATGTGGAAAGTGTCACTTTGGAAGTCAGTAATGGATGAATGAGTGTTATGTACTGATTTCATTATAATAATTGGTTGTGATGAATCGAATAACGATTGAACTAATAATGCCCATGCCTTATCGATTCGGGTTCTTTTTATATTCGAGATCGATGCTAGATTCGCAATTTTTCGCAATGAGAATGGCCGTTACTTGGCGTTATTGCTCACCTGGGTAGGTTCGCATGGTAAGCGGTTTTTGCAAATTTTACAAGAACTGAAGTCTATGAACTCCGCTGACTTGATCGAAACACAATGTACTGGATGTTTCAATTTGAAAAAGTTAATTCAGTGAACTTTAATGAATTGAACAATTTTTTGCAATCAAAATGGGTTTGTTCATTCAGAAAAATTACATTATCATTTTTCAAGGATAAGTTTATTCCATAAATTTGCAAAAGATTCAAAAGGCGACCTATTTGGCATACATGTAATATATCCAAATTATTGTCGATATTGAAACTATGTTTGGAGTTGAGAATGTGGTTGGCAAAGAAACTACTAGTATTATATTCATCTAAAATAGGAGGATTTGTTGTTTTTTCTATGAGTTTAATATGCTCATTAACTCTGGGTTTGAATCCGTCTACCACTCTGGCCAATGTACTGGGAATTGCAATTGGGATGTACTGGGAATTGCAATTGGGATGTGAACATGATAATTTATATACACCTGGTTTATGGAGAAGAGGAATCTTATCTTTATTATTGACAAACATACGTGATATTGAATTAGAAGTGTAGAAACTCACATTGATGTCATCACAGAATCTGAGAAAAAGGTTACTGATTTTTTGGGAAACTTTGCCTCAATAAGGGATTGAAGCAAAACGTTACCTTTGATTATTAATTGGTAATGAACTACGGTTAGCACAATCTTGATAATAAACTACTCAACACTAATTTCGTCGCACACCAAAATGTCGCCCCTGTTATAATATGAATAACTTTTTTCAGTTTGAAACAATTTGAATTTGGTTCACACTGTTCGATAGCCCAGTTCTTCAGCTATAATCTCGTACTTCATTGAAATATAAGGGTATTCACATAAAATCTCTACATGGTGTTTTCCGACACTGTGCGAAATTTCTGAATATTCAAGAGGCTCTCAAATGGTGGAAAAAATTTTTTTCTCAACTTCGACAACAGCGGCATGAAGATGATCTCATTACCTGGAGATATTTCGCGAATCGACTTCCTATCTCTTTTATTTACAGAGTGATCTCAAAAAATCAACTTTTTGGTTTTGCAGCCATAACTTTTTTCCACGTCAACCGATTTTGGGAATCTTAGGCTCATTTTGAAGATAAAACTTCAGATGAAGAGATCTGACTATCAGAATTGACTCAAGATGGCTATCAACGATCTAGAGTTTTCTTGAAAGTGACCCAAATCTGGAACGCCCTTCGAATCTTGGTTGGGAGGAGAATTGAATGAAAATCAACTTGTTCTCGGAAAAACAAATCATTCTGGATGCGTTCATATTTTCTTCGCTCTCAGTACTCAAGAATGTGCGTGAGAAAACACAATTGAAACATGTTCTTGCAAAAACATTAGATCATTTCTCCTCTGTAATGCATGGCCCACCGTAACCAACGTTACAAGAATCACAATGAGTGACTGACAAACCCGACCAGCTGAGGCTCATCATAAATGGTGTACCAACAAGAGCAACAGATTTTGATTTTTTCAATAAAGTGATTTTTTTAACAGTTGTCACCTACATACAATGCGATTTAAGAATATGGAGAAGTATTCAAGCAAACAACGTTTATTTATTGTAAAAACGCATTTCAAAAATGGTGAGAGTTTCACGAAAAGAGTTTGCCAATTACGTGAAGTTTTCAGTCGCAATAATGCGCCGAACGAATCGACAGTAATAACCAAACAATTCGTGTCGGAGATAAGCCCTTTGAATGGATCGGACTGTCGTGTTTAGCAGATCCGCGATTCGGAGGGAAGATAACCCTTGTTCCCTCATTTGTGGAATCAGTTCCAACTGGTCGGGCGTTAGATGCGGCATCGAAACTATCAAAATCTGTTTATGATTCGAAAACGACGTCTAACCTGACTTGTCAGTCACTTACTGTGATTCTTGTAACGTTGGTTACGGGCCATGCATTACAGAGGAGAAATAGTCTGATGTTTTTGCAAGAACATGTTTCAATTGTGTTTTCTCACGCACATTCTTGAGTACAGAGAGCGAGGAAAATATGGACGCATCCAGAATGAATTGTTTTTCCGAGAACAAGTTGATTTTCATTCAATTCTCCTCCCAACCGAGATTCGGAGGGCGTTCCAGATTTGGGTCAAGAAAACTCTAGATCTTTGATTGCCATCTTGAGTCAATTCTGATATTCAGATCTCTTCATATGAAGTTTTATCTTCAAAATGAGCCTAAGATTTCCAAAATCGGTTGACGTGGAAAAAAGTTATGGCTGCAAAACCAAAAAGTTGATTTTTTGAGATCACTCTGTAAATAAGAGAGGTAGGAAGTTGATTCGCGAAATATCTCGAGGTAATGAGATCATCTTCATGCCTCTGTTGTCGAAGTTGAGAAAAAAAAAATTTTTCACCATTTGAGAGCCATTTGAATATACCGAAATTTTGCACAGTGTCGGAAAACACCATGTAGAGATTTTATATGAATACCCGTATATTTCAATGAAGTACGAGATTATAGCTGAAGGACTGGGCTATCGAACAGTGTGAACCAAATTCAAATTGTTCTAAACTGAAAAAAGTTATTCACATTATAACAGGGGCGACATTTTGGTGTGCGACGAAATTAGTGTTGAATAGTTTATCTTCAATTTCGCGATTTTTTGCGACACTGAATATTACCTGTTCGTAACAGTCGTTGGTCTTGGCATCGCCTAGGGGAATGTTGTGGAGGCGGTACGTCTTGCACAGGTAACTCATTATGGGTCCGGGAGCGGTGAACAGATTGTTGATGTACGTGTAGAAGCCGTAACGTCTCAAATTTTCTATCGCAATGTTCGGTTGAAACTGCCTCGGATCGTCCGACGAATCGGAGGAGTGTATCACATTCACCGACAAGTTCTGGCTTTCTCTCAGACACCTGAAGAAAATACGAATATCAAGTATTTCAGGCACGACCAGGCATAAAGTGGCACTTTAGCGCTTGCGGAGTAATTTATCGCCCGGCGTATAGGTAGCTCGTAATAAGCATTCCTGTATAATTGAGGACATTTACGTTTTAGTTGTGATGGTTCCTTATCTAATATTACAGTTCTCTTGATACTTCTGAGATGCAAAATGATATGATAGAACCCAAAATAAGTTATCTGCGATGACATTAATTGACAGCAAATACAGTCTGTCCAAGATAAGGTTGCACAGCATGGGGATCTCGGAAACGGTAGGAGATACGAAGTCGGTTAAATGGGGAAAAAGTTGCGCATTCGGAGGCTCATATCAAGAGCCTTCGAAAATTTTCAAAATTGTTTTAAGTTTTCCAGTTATATCGAAAAAAGTGAATTTTTGGAATATCTATTTTTTTTTCTCCGTTATAATTAGAGATACAGAAAAACTGAAAATACTTTTTCATAGCAACTTTTGATGACGTTTAACTTGGTGATACCGATTTTTTTATACGACGTTTCGTATTCGTAGAACCATCACCAACTTTTGTTTTTCAAATACGGTCCTGATAATTCTTTCACAGATTCTGAAAGCTTTTTTTATTCTGAATTCAACCATGTATTATACAAGGTGGTTTGAATGTGTTTCGAACTATTTTTAGCCATCATCAATGTTTTTTTCGAAATTCCACAGGAAAAATGCCATCAGTTCCACTTATTTTGGAGGAGAATTAGTCAACAAACTGATACCTCATCAACTAGTTCCGATTGATAGACTTATAGGAATAATTCGTTCGAAAAATTTAATTATGACAAGCTCCTTCGGATTAACCCTTTGCGGTCCAAATATTTTTTCATAACCTGTCTTCCCCGGTCCAATTATATTATCGTTGCCTGTCTTCCTGAGTCCTATTTATTACAAGCATTTATTGAAATTGCCTTGTTATACGACGCTATACATAGTGGAGTATACTACGGCCGTGCCAAAAATGCTATCTCGGAAACTAAGCGAGATAGAGGTATAGTTGCTTTGGAGAAAATGATCCCCATCGAATTTTGAGCAACTTTGGTTTTTGTGTGTGGTCTGTCTGTCTGTCTGTCTGTACTCTGTGTTAATCATAAATCGATATATCTCCGGAACCCTTTGACATATCGACTTGAAATTTTGCCATCTTATTGTACTCAAAACAATATTATGTCATTAAAATATGAAGGAAATCGGAAAACTCTAAGGTGGTTTTTCCGGGTTTTTTCGATTTTTCACCGGAAGTTCCTTGTAATCACTCTACAAATCGCAAAAGTGGTCCGATCGATTTCATTTTTTGTGAAAAAAACCTCTATCAGGAAGAGACGAAGCCTATTGAAATTGAGCAGGGTCGGAAAATTCCAAGTGGGTTTTTCAAGAAGATTTTCCGAAAAACACGGTTCACTTTAAAACGACATATCTCCTGAACCAATAGACTAAATCCAAATTTGAAAAATGCACCGTATGCCTCTTTGATGACGCAACAAATTATTATTTAACTATTTTTTCGTGCATCCATCGGAAAATGGAAAAACAAATGAAAATCAAAACATCAAAATTTGAAATCCTTTCAATTCAATATATATCGAAAACAAATGGAAAAATCGAAAATTATCAGAAGTGCAAAGTTATCCACTGGAACATTTCCTACAAACTATTTCTCATAATTTTTTCTGTAAACCCAATAGTACAGGAAATAAAGTGAAAAATATGAAAAAAAAAATTTTAACGACCCATAGGGTACTATGAATATATATTGAAAAACAAAGATTATCGATAGATGAAGCTTATCCACTTCCACTAAACCATGAAATATTTTTTCATTTTGTTGATTGGAAGATGGAACAAAAGTGTTGAAAATTTGATTCTCAGATAATTCCAAATATCTCGAAAACAACTGGAAATATCTGAAAATGTTATAGAACCAAAATTATTCCTTTTGATAAAATCTACAAAAAATCTTCATAACATTTTTCTCTGAATTCAATAGTTCGGGAGATACGATGGAAAAACTAAAAAATTTACAAGTTCCTAGATAATCACTTGCCAATAGAAAACGAAACAAGAAACAAAGAAAGTAAAAAAAGCACACTCGACTGTCTTGATTTTTTTCCCATAAACTACGTACCTAGCTCACTTTACTGTCTTTATTTTTGCCAATAAACTAGGTACGGGCTAAGTTCGTAGTTTGTACGAAAAATCTCCAGTTCTCTGAACTTTCATAGCGTCGTATAAACATCATTGGTGCCCAATGATAGTTTCAATATAAAAATATGCTCATGATATGGTGCCATGGCCTCTACTTCCATCTTACATGAGCAATGATAAAATATTATCTGATTTTTTAACGTCGTATGAATTATCTGACCTTTATACTAATCTGATACCTTTCAAAAACTACGTACCCCACTTGTTATACGACGCTATACATAGTGGAGTATACTACGGCCGTGCCAAAAATGCTATCTCGGAAACTAAGCGAGATAGAGGTATAGTTGCTTTGGAGAAAATGATCCCCATCGAATTTTGAGCAACTTTGGTTTTTGTGTGTGGTCTGTCTGTCTGTCTGTCTGTACTCTGTGTTAATCATAAATCGATATATCTCCGGAACCCTTTGACATATCGACTTGAAATTTTGCCATCTTATTGTACTCAAAACAATATTATGTCATTAAAATATGAAGGGAATCGGAAAACTCTAAGGTGGTTTTTCCGGGTTTTTTCGATTTTTCACCGGAAGTTCCTTGTAAGCACTCTACAAATCGCAAAAGTGGTCCGATCGATGTCATTTTTTGTGAAAAAAACCTCTATCAGGAAGAGACGATGCCTATTGAAATTGAGCAGGGTCGGAAAATTCCAAGTGGGTTTTTCAAGGAGATTTTCCGAAAAACACGGTTCGCTTTAAAACGACATATCTCGTGAACAAATAGACTAAATCCAAATTTGAGAAATGCACCGTATGCCTCTTTGATGACGCAACAAATTATCATTCAATCATTTTTTCGTGCATCCATCGGAAACTGGAAAAACAAATGAAAACCCAAACATCAAAATTTGAAATCCTTTTAATTCAATATATATCGAAAACAAATGGAAAAATCGAAAATTATCAAGAGTGCAATGTTATCCACTGGAACATTCCCTACAAATCATTTTCCATAATTTTTTCTGTAAACCCAATAGTACAGGAAATAAAGTGAAAAATATGAAAAAAAAAATTTTAACGACCCATAGAGTACTATGAAGATATATTGAAAAACATAGATTATCGATAGATGAAGCTCATCTACCTCCACTGAGGCATGGAATATTTTTTCATTTTGTTGATTGGAAGATGGAACAAAAGTGTTGAAAATTTTATTCTCAGATAATTCCAAATATCTCGAAAACAACTGAAAATATCTGGAAATGTTATAGAACCAAAATTATTCCTTTTGATAAAATCCACAAAAAATCCTCATAACATTTTTTTCTGAATTTAATAGTTCGGGAGATACGATGAAAAAACTAAAAAATTTACAAGTTCCTAGATAATCACTTGCCAATAGAAAACAAAACAATTGATTTTTTTCTCATAAACTACGTACCTAGCTCACTCGACTGTCTGGAAAAACCAAGACAGTCGAGTGGGCTAAGTACGTAGTTTGTGGGAAAATTCTCCAGTTCTCTGAACTTTCATAGCGTCGTATACACATCATTGGTGCTCAATGATAGTTTCAATATAAAAATATGTTCATGATATGGTGCCATGGCCTCTACTTCCATCTTACATGAGCAATGATAAAATATCATCTGCTTTTATAACGTCGTATGAATTATCTGACCTTTATACTAATTGATACCTTTCAAAAAGTACGTACCCACTTGTTATACGACGCTATACATAGTGGAGTATACTACGGCCGTGCCAAAAATGCTATCTCGGAAACTAAGCGAGATAGAGGTATAGTTGCTTTGGAGAAAATGATCCCCATCGAATTTTGAGCAACTTTGGTTTTTGTGTGTGGTCTGTCTGTCTGTCTGTCTGTACTCTGTGTTAATCATAAATCGATATATCTCCGGAACCCTTTGACATATCGACTTGAAATTTTGCCATCTTATTGTACTCAAAACAATATTATGTCATTAAAATATGAAGGAAATCGGAAAACTCTAAGGTGGTTTTTCCGGGTTTTTTCGATTTTTCACCGGAAGTTCCTTGTAACCACTCTACAAATCGCAAAAGTGGTCCGATCGATTTCATTTTTTGTGAAAAAAACCTCTATCAGGAAGAGACGAAGCCTATTGAAATTGAGCAGGGTCGGAAAATTCCAAGTGGGTTTTTCAAGGAGATTTTCCGAAAAACACGGTTCGCTTTAAAACGACATATCTCGTGAACAAATAGACTAAATCCAAATTTGAGAAATGCACCGTATGCCTCTTTGATGCCGCAACAAATTATCATTCAATCATTTTTTCGTGCATCCATCGGAAACTGGAAAAACAAATGAAAACCCAAACACCAAAATTTGAAATCCTTTTAATTCAATATATATCGAAAACAAATGGAAAAATCGAAAATTATCAAGAGTGCAATGTTATCCACTGGAACATTCCCTACAAATCATTTTCCATAATTTTTTCTGTAAACCCAATAGTACAGGAAATAAAGTGAAAAATATGAAAAAAAAAATTTTAACGACCCATAGGGTACTATGAAGATATATTGAAAAACAAAGATTATCGATAGATGAAGCTCATCGACCTCCTTTGAACCATGAAATATTTTTTCATTTTGTTGATTGGAAGATGGAACAAAAGTGTTGAAAATTTAATTCTCAGATAATTCCAAATATCTCGAAAACAACTGAAAATATCTGAAAATGTTATGGAACCAAAAATATTCCTTTTGAAAGAATCTACAAAAAATCCTCATAACATTTTTCTCTGAATTCAATAGTTCGGGAGATACGA